AACACAGAGATGACACAAGATGTATGCAAAAAAAAAAAAAACTCCCCCCGGTCATGAGTATAGAAAAATCGCTGAACGCATGCTTGCATATACAGTGTAGTAAGGGTGGATTCCTGCAGGAACATATTGTGCTATTGTGCTGCGGTGGCATGAATTAAGATTCAAGCCGAACTGTTGTGCAATTACATGTGTCGAGCATGGAAAACAACAACAGAGGCAATTATTTTACAAGGTAATTTCAGTCTGTGTTTTAAACATAATGTGTTTATTTGTGTCAAAGACTAGTTTTTAAAAAAAAGGAAAGAGATGCAGAGCAGCTGGTGACTCTGAGGTGTGTAGGTGGGACCATTTGCAGCCCCTCACTTAGTGAGCCTCTGTGGAATTAACAGGCTTTAAAGAGGTGCATCAAGAGCTCAAACTCATACATACATAACTCATAACTCAAATTCATACACTGTTTATATAAGGAGAATCACTGACTCCACACCAACCGATGAATCATATGATTAGATTTATATCTTTCTGAAACCGCATGGATGTAGCTTCTATAAAGTCAGAGGAATATCCCTACGCATACGCACTGATGGTTTTATTGGGAATACAAATTTGTCTGATGGTTTCAATAAAGATTGGTTCCAGAATACATGTGTCATCTAACCCTACAATGCCATTTAAAGGCATGTTCTTTTTTCACTAATCGTCTAATCAAACAGGAAAGTACGATAAAATCTTGAACATGATTTTAGGTTTGCTCATGGTGCTGGCAGCTGTCTTTTCTTTCCTCAGGCTGTGAATGAACAGTACCTACGCTCTGCTGCCATTCAAACAGGAAACCCAACTGCAGGTCTCAATCACATGCAGGTCAGGACAATGCAACTGACCTCAGGGTGGGACTCCAAAAAGTCAAAAGCAGGTGGCTGGAAAATAAAATATAAACTTTCCCCATGGGGACCACATGGGCCTGCAGTGGTGTTGGGTGTAGCTGCTAAAACGGACAACAACAGGAGCTGATATTACAGAATAAAATCTTTCTTTTTTGCAGTGTACAGAGATTTTATCTTTGATGCCTCTTCTAGAGGGCAATGTGGAACATTTGTCTCCTATCCTTGTGGTCAGGGCTGTTTTTCCATCTTTTCAACATGGCTTTTGAGACACATTCAAACAAAAAGAAACTCTTTTTATCCTTTCTGCCACCTCATTCTTAAATGTTGCTGATGGCAGGATTCAAGTTATTCAAATGCCTTGTATGTGCAGGGATTAGCTATTTATTTTTGCAATCTTTTTTTGTTTTTGATTGTTTTGGCTGTGACAGCATCCTTATCCATGCAGCTGCACGCAGCTCTGCTCGACTGACACTTTGTTTATGTGATTAATTGTCAGACCTATTTTTAAAGGGGGTTCTGTTGTAGTGTGATCAGAAGATTGTCAAACTGAATTGCCCCCTTGGATAAATAAAGTCTCAACTCTGAACAGAACACAACTGAGTTACACAGGACTGCCTTCTAACTACTTATAGGCTAGCTTAGATTCCATTTAAAAAAAGATAACTTTACCCATTATTTGAAAATGTAAAGCAATGAAAGGGCCTTACAAGAAATAGGGGCGGAACTGACTATAATAACTAACTAAAAACCTCACAGATGCTGTAAGATAGAAAGATGGGGTTACATGGTGAATAAAACATCACGCAAGTACTTTCATGTCAGTCCCAGATGACTGGACTAGAGGAAATCCTTAGTGCATTTTAGCTCCACTGAAACAAAGGCCCTGTCAAATCAGCTGCTTTTTATACACAGATCAAGCAGTTAGGAGAACAATTGGTGCAAAGAAAATCTCTTCAAACAGGAGTGTATTTCCCACGGACTGGGAACCACAAGTACAGACACAGTAGAGACAGATCACCTAGGAAACTACTTGACATAAGACAATTAAGGTTTACCTCTCTAACCGATCTAGAAGTTTGTAATCAGTACCCACATACATATTCTTGCCACATGGGTTGGAAAACATCATACTAGTTCTGATTTCTAATATCTACCTTCAGCTTGAGTGGAAACATGATAACACCATCAACAAGGCCAAATCATGTTAAGCCCACATCTCACTCATCATTGGTACCTGTGGATTTTCTTGATTACTTCTCCCCATTGAAAGGAAAATCATAAACAGGAAGTCATTTTCTATGATAGTCAGGCCACTTAGAGACTGAAATGATTCTGTAAGAATTCTAAAAATAAAGAAGTAAAAACTGGCTGCAGCAAGTAACTTTAGTAACCCATGCCATATCTTAAAGACGGAAGGTAACGCTAGCTGACATGTGTCTATGTTTTCATAGACATGATGCTGGTGTAAAAAAAAAAAAAGAAAAGAAAACATATGTGTTTTTAATCAGATGTGTATTAGTTACTTACCCAAATCTTTAGATCCTTGACTTTCACTGGCTAGTTCACCCATTCTGACGAGGGCATCAAAGTAGCCTTTTGCAGCAAATGTCACATCTAAACGCAAAGAGAAAAGAGTGGCTTGAATCAAAAGGTTTTAGAACTGGGCATTTAAGAAAGTGTCAAATGAGAGATGCAGCAATTTTGTGTAAATAATCAACTGTGTTTTCTCAGAATTTCTTCAAGACTCAGACATTGTTTTGCCATTGGAAAATAAGACAATTATGCTCTAACACAAATTACTTTGTTATCATCACGGATGCTTAATTGCAGGAAATTATTTTCTGACAGAAGAACTGTGATCAGACGAACTACTATTTCATAAGAGTTATGTTTTGCTCAAACTTCAGAGTTGGAATTAGAAGAAATTCTGCTTCATTCTAACTTCAAGGTGTGTGGTAGCATTTGATTTAATATTCACGTATTTCCCCTGAAAATTATTTCAGTGCTGGATTTATTAATTTCCACCAAAGCCCATGGCTAAGATCAGTTATGTTAAAACGTTTAACTTGCTTTGTCCATATTTGAACAACTATTTCAAATTGTTTATGTGTAAAAGATCCACGAGTCTAAAATGTCCACATCAGATATACTGAAATGATACTGCCCCTTAAGTGTCTGAAAGCCTGCAACATTCATTTTTTTAATTCTGATTATCATCTGTGCTAAACATGGTGATGGGGTGGGGAAGAATTCAGGTAAACTGCAATGTGACTCACCCTGCCCAAAAGGTGGATCAGTAAGTTTCCTCACTTGTGAAAGGTTTACAATGAAACTGCCTTTAAAGCTGAGAGTAAAAGGTTATTTATGATATGTACCAGCTGATGCCTTCATTACGGTGGGTAACCTAATCAACAACTACCTATAAAGACCTCGTTTCAAAGATTAATATCCAGCTCAACCCCTACTGCTCAAACCTTTGCTAAGCTACCATCAAAGTTCAGAAAGGGCAGATGCAAGCTTCCACCGACTGTCAAACACTCCTCCACTGAAACTCTGTGAATAATGGCGGCTGCTCTTGGAGGCCGGTTCAACAGCAGACCAGGTGACAGATGGGATCTGTGTCTGTAGACAGCTGCCAGGTGTGAGCCACATTTACAACAATTGTCTGTCAGGAGCAGGCAAATTCTAACAGACAGATGCAGCCATTTTTCAGCACAGGAAGTCTTCCCTGCTCAGGGACATATGCTAATGCTAGTCCCAATTACAGGTGCTGCAGAGGACAGCATGGGTTTGCTTCCCACTCTCCAGGAAAATAACTGAGGAGTGCGAGTGGGGACTTCAGAGCACCAAACCTTAATTATGGCACAACAGATCTCGTGACTGCCTTGATATAGAAAGTGTATGAATGCTTGTTAGATCATATGAGTTTGCACATGCGTGGCAGAGATTTGTGTGAAATTGATGGCAGGAGTTAAGACTGCTCTCCAAGTAACAGACACTTTTCTTGCTGATGCAGCTGCTGTGTGATATGCTAAATGTGTGGTTGAAAAATAGCTGAATAGATAAGCAGGATCTGTTAAGATACTTCTGTCTTATCAAATGTATGGTGAGGGGTTCAATCTGACAGATGGAGGGGATTACCACATCTCTGATCGCAGGGAAGACAGTAGGTTGGGGAGGGGCTCATTTCAAACCTACTGATCTATTACACATATTTCACTCCAGAGAAGAGAAGGAAACACATTTTCATAACGATGACATGACAGAAATATCACACTGCTAGAGAGCCTGAATAAAATGTTGAGGGCTAAATCTGGCTTCCTGCAGAGTTGAAAATTAGACATATTTTGTTTTTACACAGACAGAGCACTGTGTAATTCAGTGATTGACTGCTGTGTTTGAAAATCTGGAATCCACACATGTCCAGATCCAGGCTTTCAAATGAAGCTCTTTTGGAACTGTTGGTATTAAATCATTTCAATGATTACACCATATGGGTGTAAGTGTGTCCTTCCATCCCCTACCACAGCAAATCCAAGCTACTAAGTCCTTTGGGTTGAGCCAATCCTGCAAAGTGGGTCTTTAATGGCTAAGTGAACCCCTACCAGCCTGTTCCCTACCTACACAAAAGCCGGGATTAGTTATCGTGAATGTTGGGGAAAACAAGTATTGGCTACAGGATAAAGAATACTTTTTACTGGTTTGGTAGGTTGGGTTTGTGTTGAGACACGGGAGCTTTCAGGGAAATTAAAAACTAAAGCACTGTCATCTTGCCATGGAAAATAAAAGATCTTTAGAAGAACCATACTATAAACTAGTATAAACTGTGAAAAGGAAAACATCTACACACCTTTTCCTTTGTAAATCTAACTGCTAACTGTCAGATGTCCAGACTTGCACATTACATTAGATTTTGTTTTAGCACCATTGCAGCATAGAGGTCATTGCAGAGTTTCTGTCATGACATGGTCTGAGCAGGTTGCATGAAGAGAACTATGACATAAAGTTTAAAACACTTTAAAGTGAAGTAGATCAATCCAAAGAAAAAGAGTGCTTTTTTGGCTGAATGCCTAAACCCGCAATGAAGCGAAGAGAAACAAAAAAGAAAGCTCTTACTGGCCAGGGCCTTTTCGTAGTTCTTCCCCATTGCAACAAAGTTCCGCAAGCAAGGGTTGAACTGCTCCATGATGGTCTAAAAGAAAAAAAAAGAGATTGTTAGTGAATAGAGGTTTCACTTATCATTGGAACAAGGTCGAGAGCACAAGATGACCTTCTCTGTTTTCTTTCTTTTTCCAACATACCTCAAAGTCCTTGAGGTGCAAGAATCTGTCTTATATAAACAGACATGTACACACACACAGACGCACAAAAAAAAGACTCAAACAATAGCAACTCACAGGACTTTAAAGTTGTGTTTCAAATGTCTTGTGCTCAAGATACTCAGTGTCTTGCAAGAGTAATCGCCCCCTTTGGCATTCTTTCTGTGTTGTTGCCTTACAAACTTGATCAGTGGAAATACAAGATTAGATAAATGGGTAAATAGAAATTAAAAAATGAAATAAAAGTAAATATTTCATATCTCCTCTGTGCTTACCCTGTCACAAGGCACTGCAAAAAGATCTATCTGACAATAGCTTGGTTAAAGCAAATGATCAACATTTTGTTAGTTTGGGGTGTTCAAAGATCTTCAGCTTATTATTGATGTAAATTATTAAAAACATATGACAAAAACCTAATTTTCATAGTAAAAAACTAAGTCAGTATATGAGTTATTGCCACAGGAGATATCCATTTTAAGCTGAGCTAGTCTAAATGTTAAGAATGCATGCTGCTACAATTGTTTCCTCCACTTCTGCTCCACCGTTTCTCTCCCTCCTTCTCTGCTCCACCAGGTCCTCCAATTAGCTGTTCCCAAGTCAGATACTCAGGAATAACCTGAGGACAGGGAGACAACCACAACACTGCAGCAGCAGCAGCAGTCGTAACACAGACAATCAATACTGCAGGAGAACACTTAATAATCTACTTTTTGCCTGAATCCACACTAAGGCAGGATTATATTAAAGCGCCACCAGCGACAACCGGAGGTAACCACTCCAGCTCCATCCTCATTCCTCACTCAGAATTCAGCACTTTTGCTTTACTCTTTCTCACAGCATCTCCTTTAAAAATAAAAAAAACAACACACACCAAAAGTTCACCAAGTATCTGTTAGTGTGTCTATGTGTGTGCTTGCTGTGTTAGGCACTGCAGTTTAAGTGGCCTGAGTGCAGCATAATCCACCTACAGAACAAATACAAATGAGTCAGGAGAAAAGAAAAAGACTTTTTCAGCAGTTTTCATTAACACTAACCTGTGAAGAGAGATATCTTACTTCCTAATAACATGATGAAAATGCAAACTGGAATGCAGTGAACTGGATTATAATGATAAGAGTAAAAAAGGACAAACATGAGAAAAGAAAATCACCATTAGTTACTAACTGAAAGCATGAATGACTCAACTACACAATAATGTGCTTTAAAAATAAGGAAATAAAAGGTCCATACAAGCCCAGACTCCCGGATGCAATCGAGTCTTTATTACAGAGAACAATGTGGCAGCTTATTGTTTCAAAAGTTATAATGGAGCTAAGGCACTGCAAGAATTAGCAAATTAAAGCACTGTACCAGCAACTCAAGTTTAAACAGCTCCCGTTATACAGCACCCGTTTCCCTGTGTCACATATTTCTAAAGGATGGGAAGATAATTGGGGGGAGAATCCCATCTCAGTTTCGCACGGTGTTTGCACAAAAGGTATCCCCACTCCGTCTGCCTGGGGGAAGATGAAAGACATCCCTAAAGACCTTGCATACGAAATGTGTATTCCTTTTGATTTCTCGTTCTGCTTGATTCTGATGTAGAAAGGATCTCGGTGACAAATAAAAAAGGCAACCCGAACATGTGCATTACGAATGCTCTCATATTAATGGCCGCGTGCGTCCTCATCCACACACCTACATTAGCAAAAGGGTTTATAATAAAGAGTGATGGTGTTTCAAAGTGGTGGGAGGATTACATAATGAAGCTGGTCCCGATGCGGCACCATTGCTGCACACGCTCCTACTGTAGGGGGCAAAGGTAGCTGACACCAGCCTAGTTGTCATTTTTGCACAAACTGCCAACCCACTCTCTGACCATTGAATAGATACACTGAAACAGCAATGGTTCAAATGTTCTGCTAAAATTACACGATTCAAGGAAAATTAAAAGATTATAACAAAGACAGAAATTACAGTGGATTTCACTTGACCTGCAGTAGAGAAGACACTGAGGTGGTCTCTGTCTTTATTGTTGCTAAATTTGTCATCCCAGTTCTCTTGCTCTACATTGTCACCCTAATTGTGGCAGCTAATTGGGAAATGAGGGCAGGAGACACTTATGGTTTTATGACATGTTGGGAAAATGTTTAGCAAGTGGACAGATTATGAAATGATGTACTGTAATAATGTCCTCTATTACTAACACTGTATAGACTTTCAGGTTAACGAGTAGCAGAATTAATAGTCACAGCTCAGAAACAGTCTCCTTATTTCCACAAATACTGAATGGATTCAGTTTTAAGGGTCAGGAAAAATTAAATCAGGCAATTAAAGGATGGGAAAATGACACCCATTTTTATTTTTTTTTGCTGTGAGTTGAAACAGAAGGGATAGAAAGAATTTGCAAAGAGCAAGAATAAAGGCTGCAGATAAGAGAAAATATCGAGAGGAATTAAATTATTTCTCCTGGCATTAAAATTAATTTTCCCCTCAGTGTGAAAGTAGCAATCAAAACAAGGTCAGTGCACTAAAATAGACAAGTTCAAATTGGGGAACATTCATTCCTATCTGTTGATTCTGTTCATTCCTGTGTCTCTTGTACATGCATGGTTGCACCTACACACAAACATAATAATGATATGCAAAGGGGGCAATTTGAAAGTAACGCAGGCTGATCAGAATCAGGAGGAATCATACGCATAAACAAGCTGGGATGCCATCATCTGTTCCCCCGTGCCCTCCCTTCAAGCCGTTTCTAAACGGCACCCTGCTGCAGAGCTGAAAAAGCTGAGGATTAGATGAACATCAAAGCTCCCATTTACCTTTTTCAGGATAACCGTGAGGATCTGTCAGGTAATGAAAGTTGACAAAGGCAGCCAACATGAATATGTATTCTGAGAGGAATCTAAAGAAGGCGGCTGATCTGTGGATTGATGTGAGGCAAACATGCAGCAGCCCAGCTGAGGGACAACTGAGACCTACACCATTTTCTGTGCAAATAGTTTGACTGCAGTGTCACCTTTCTAGTTGACCTCACTAAATGGTGAGAAACGCCAGATCAAGACCAGGCATGTCAGGGATTGGTACGTCTCACCTTTTTGCAAGCTTTCTTTGGGGGAAAGCCTGCGTTTAACAAGTGATTGCAACATACTTCAGGGATTTTAATCATTTGTGGGATTTTAATAAGGAACTACCTCCCCAAAGTGAAAGCGTATATTAAAACCTGTTCTCAAACAAGTTAAATTACTAAATTGTGAGCGTTTAAAATCAAATGCACTGCTCCGTATCCCCACTGTCAGTTTTGTCAGTGCCTGTCTAAAGTTGCGTGTCCTCTACATAACCATAATCAATCCACCTTCACAGTGACTAAATCTGACATGAAAAATCAAACATTGCAATGTGGCTGCTAAGCCCAAATCTCCGACTGACGAAAATCTAATCATCCGAGATTTCAGAACAGGATATGAACTAATGAATGCATGACTCTGTGATTGGATTAACAGCGGTTTGGAGTTCTACACCGCCTGAATAGCAGGCATTATACTGAAAGCCTGTGTGGTAAAAGCTCACTAATAGCCTGACAGAACAGATGGTTAGTTTTTACAGAAACACCTGGAAACACCACCATTAAAACCAGTGGAAAGAGGCACTTTAACCAGGTGATCAGATGAGGCAGACATCCTTACTTGTGAAATACAGACATCCAAAGAGAAAACCAATTAAACTAGAAACAGGACCGGAACAGGAGCCGCCCTTGTTGATTGTTGTCAGACCAAAAACCCACATGCATTTACTTGTACAGGATGCCAATTGTCCAAAACATTTGCATTTCACTGGCAATCAAATGACTGGAGCCAAGAACCACTAGCAAGCACATTAACCCCCTCCCCCCCAAAAAAACACTGTAAATATCAGAGTTGGGGAACAATACAAGACAAAGTAATCGTACGGCAGCGAGTGTTAAATGCATCAAAACATTGAATATGAGCTCTTAACAGTGGGCTTTATTGTAACGTGCATTTAGTGCATTACTCCACATAAAGCTTCAGTTTCAGATTATTATGGTGTGAAAATATTCTGCAAAGGCATGAGGTAGTGCTGCTGGATATGGAGAAAATCTGGGCATTTTGCCAGAGGTCACGCTTGGTCAAACTCTAAAGTTGTTTATCTCTACCATACTTGGTTCTTCTTCGAAGTCAATCAATTCAGCACAAAGGCTCGTCCCAGCTGATCACAGGCCCTTTCGTTTTGCAGTCACAACTGATAATTCCCAACTTGTTGACATACTGGAGAGAAGGCACTCACTTTGGAGAGGTTGCATTCCAAATCTAATTAAATTTCACCAGGAGGACATTAATTCAATTTCAAAATCCTGTTTAAAAATAGACGTCCCTGTTTTGACTTTTACCATTTCCTCATCACAGATGGTTTAAAAAGTTTCCGTTGAAAAAAACTCTAAAAATAGCATTTGCCTGTATGCCTGCTTTTCTACATTATGAAACTGCAAGCTATCACAAAAGAATGATAAGACTAAAGTTTTTGTGCATCTGCAAAACTAATCTCACAATAAACTAAAGTCTTTATAAAAAAAAAACATCACACACACTGAAGTACTCCCATCCATACTGATTAACAAACACATCCAGTCTCATATTTCAGTGTAAACACTCTGGCAGTTTGAACTTCTTGCATTCCCAAAGACTAACTGATACAAGAGTACACATAACAAGGCCTTTCAGTGTAAACCAAGATGAACATCAACTCTGAGAATACAAGGCAAATCTTTGTCCCTCCTCCAAATTGCATTGAAGGGACCAAACCTTTACTGGCTGCTGAGCAGAGAGAAGATATCCCTCCATCCTGAAAGTGTGCACTAATGTGCGACATGTCCCACTTAAAGCATGATGCAGTAAGCCTGCAGAAATGATCCCAGAATTCAAGGGAAAGACTGTGTCTCTTAGATCAGGCTAAATGATAGTTCGGACTGTGGCAGGGGGGGGAGGAAACGTGACCTCTGGCAATCCAGTCCATCAAGCGCCCAAAAAGCCAGAAGCTATTACTAATGTTTTTATAGCAGGGCTCCACTTAAGGAATTTAACAAGGCATGTCAGAAGAGCAGTTACAGTCTTTAGGAAGTACTTGCTTTATGACCATCATGTACACGTTGTTTCCTATTTAAACACAACTCTCATTGAGAATTTTGTGGACAAAAGAGGAGAATTGGTCCAATAGTCTTTGTATTTTGTGACGTTAAAGGAAACCATTCATTTCTTTCAAATTATGCACACACTGTTTGTACTTCTTCAAGGTCTTCTACTCCCCAGTGGCAATCCTCTTTTTGGATGAGCTCAATAGTTTGTCATTATAAACGTTTTTCCCACTGTAGACTTCACTGAGATCCTGTCAGGTAATTGCTTTTGGCCACTGTTACAGAATCATTTTGGTTGATTTGGTCGCATCTTGACAGGACATCAAATTTAATATCTGTGTTTGGAATTGTATTATATGTATGTGTAAAACATAAACCACCCTTTAAACTTCATTTTGATCGCATTTTCACCTTCTTCTGTCCTGCACGGCAAATTATTTGCTCTGAAGAGACCTCCTGTTTACTCTGCTTGCTTTGCTGCCATATGCAGCAAATATGACCCTTGTATACACCTCAACATCACGGAGCTAACCTAATACAGACTGGTAACCATGGCAACCGCGGCTCCGACTTGCTTCGGAGAACATTCAGAACCTTTTTGTGAAGGATAGCGGTGCATTTCTTTCAAAGTTTGTCAGAATATGTTTGAACCATAAGAATACTGGACAATTTATGGCAACAAAAAAGGAAAGAAAACCTTTGAATAGCACGGCCGTTTCAGTACAAACATTGCGTAGAGATTTCAGCACATTGACAAAGACAATTTGCACTTGGATCTCTAGACGATTCTTTTTAACAAAGTTCTCACCCCTTTTTGAATGCAGCATTGAGGTGGTATAGTTTGCCCACTCACTGCCTTTTCCTTTTTTTCATATCTCAGTTAGCTAGCCAGAAATGAGATGGAAATGCATTTCAAACTACAGACCAATTAAAATAGTGTTGGTAATCTGAGCCAGCTGCATTAGTCATTTGCAAAGCTTGAAAGCGAGAGCATTTTTTTTAACCAAAAGATATAAAGCAAGAAAAATCTAACTACGTGGCTATCCAAGCAGCGTTGGCTTACTGTACAGTAGTACGGCTGGCCTGTGGTTGCCTGCTTAGCCAGCCCCAAGTGGGTGTAGTGTAGCCAATGCTACCCAAAGTGGTGGCATCTGTGACAGAAAATACACTGTAACAGCAGCCACAGGCATGTTAACTATTGTCCATGACCCATAAATGTAAGGCCATTGTCCACTGCCAAAGCACTTACAAGAATTTTCTGTCTCTGTGCCTCCCTCCGTCTGTATAATTATAATGTCACCCTCTACAGTAATTAAGGACTTCAACAAGGATGTGGACTGTCTCCATCTATTTCCCCCTCTTTCCATCTATTCTCTTCCACCCACTCATAAAAGCATTAACGGGATTTTTTTTGTTTGTTTGTTTTAAACAGACGAATATGAATGTATGTTGTACTTGAGTCGTCTCACACAGCAGCCATCTTAACAAGATAACTTCACATCAAGAGTACATATTAGTGACAATTATGATGGTTCTTCGCCATCAATACACAGTAGGTTTGGATTTATCACTGAATATTGCCAGTCTCTGTCCTTGAAAAAGCAATGCTGAGTAAAAAAAAAAAAAAAAGATAAAATGAGATAGAGAGAATGTCTCTAAACCATCCGCCCCCAGACGTGCAGAGAAGGTGGGTGTGTGGAGCAATAGTCCTCTCTCTCTGCATCACAGTCAAAGGAACAGAGAAAAAAAACTGCTCTCCACCACCAGTGAACATTATGATATCTCCTACAGTGCAAATGCAATAATTTCAAGGCTCTGGGTGCCAGCAGGCATAAACTTGTTGAAACACAATATTGAGGAGGCAGATGTTCAGGAGCTCCAGTCACTCTTTACTAATTTAAATTGTATATTATAAAATAATTGGTACCTGACTAGGTGATCCTTTAGAAAAATTAGGATGAATGAAAAAAGAAATGATAACTTTGTTCAATTCCCATCAAACGACTTTCATGATGGAAAACAACAGGATCAGTGGTGTATATACAGCAGACAAGACTGGTTTATGAAACAGTCCCTCTGGAGCTTTTATGAATCACTTTAAAATGGCCCTGTAATCTAGCACTAAAATAAACACGTACATTTTCTAAAGATCACATTATCATCACCTCCTCCCTTTTTTATCCTTCTTATTTGTCACTAAATACAAGTCCTATAGCACAATGATATGACAGACAGGCATAAGAATAATGGCACATTGTTGCTAAGAGACCACCTGTTCAGATCTCCCTCATGTGACTGTGGTACAACTGTAGTTCTCTTATCATCAGAGAATCACTCGTGTAATATAGAGAATATCGTGACGGAACCACAGAGAAACTATTACATAACAAGATGTCTTTTAATCAGACTTGCTGCATTTAAGAAGAAGCTTAAATCAAACAGCATGCTACTCTGCTAGCAGACTTTATCACAGTCTCTTTATCGCAGATCTTGGAACAAGAGGGAATGGTAAATCACACTTGATCCAGTTAACACGAAACAACTATTTTGCCTTTAACAGTCGTCTCAGAAAATGGTATCCACTGTTTTCTTGGCAGTGTTGACGTTTGGGGAGTGGTGCTGCCTGGGAAAATGAGTGGTGTCCTGAGGGCTGGTGGAGGTGAGCCGCTCCCTTCTACTCCCTTACCTGCAAGGGTGTGTTTAAAACCTGCATCTCACAGAACACAGGAAACGACACCTCCTGGGATGAAGTCTGAGCAAACGCAAACAGGGGTTACATTGCTCTTCAGGGCGTGTGCAGCCACAGCTTTTGTGCAACCATGCCCGGTAGAATTAAGGTCAAATAAATCTAATTCAAGTAAAGTTGATGCCAGCCAAACTGCATGTTTGGCTGAATTAACAAACAGCCCTATTATTCTTCAGCTTCTACTCTTGACTAATCTGTTTGTTCACTTTAAGCAAGCCAGGTCATCGCTCAGACTTCATCCACCCGCATGCTAAGAGGCTTGACCCAAACCACCACCCTCCCCGGCCATGGCCAGCTGGTGGAGATGGCACCGGAGCAGACACCAACACCGAGTGTCACTCTTAAGTATCCATCTCACCCCGTCAGCACGGGGATAACTAGATGCCGAACGCCATGTCTGGAGCCTTCCATCTACGCCAGGCAGGAGAAGTGAAGTGAGTCACAGAGGATCAGGCGGAGATTGCTGGGTTTACAGGTCTGCCTCCCCTGTTGATTAAGATCATCTCAGGAAACTAAGGAGTGTCTGTGGCCTTTACCGAAGGAGCAACACTCACAGTGAGATTCAGAAATCCCAGTCTCGCCCTCACCGTCTACAGTTCCAGTCTTGTTAAACACACACTCAGTTGGGCTAACATGAGTCACAGCGGCGTGGTTACCCCCCTCATTTCCCCGGTGATTAGTCCGTATCTTCCCAGCTGCTGGCTGCGCTGCCTCTATATATGCTGAGTGTCTTTAAGTCTCACCTTGCATGGAAAGCAGACATACTATTATATGCAGGTATCTACACATATTTTTAAATGACAGCAGACTTAACATTCATATTTCTTTTACCTGCTTTTGACTAATTTAAAGTTTAAGATCTGAAGTATTCCTGCTTCCCAACAGTCAAGTGATGTGAAAATCACAGCAGCCTTATTGTATCATTTCATATTTGAACTTTTACTGATTTACACATTACAGTGCACAATGATCTTTCCAAAAAAGTTTTGATGATAAAATCTTGGTAGTATGACGACTTGTATAACTTCAGTTACACTTTACTGTGTCTGCTTGAGAGTTTGTCAAGATTCAATCTAGCAAATATCTGCGAAATCCCATTTAGTACATCAACTTGCTATCCAGCTTTATTTCCAGCTTTTTTAAATTATGTTTGTTCTTAGCAGAGAAATTAAAAAAGAAAAAAACAACTTAATAAGCTGTACTGTACTGGTTTTATTTGGAATGCAAACCTCTGACAACTGCTTTCAGCATGCAGCATCTTCTGAAAACTCATCCCCAATGAATGTTTAAGTCGAAATCAAACTTCTTCTTAGAATACTGAAGCATATCAAAAAGTATGGTTTTTTTCTTCAGAGAAGATAGCATATCTGCAAAGTAAGCAGTGCCACACGCGGTGCTCTTTGACCCTCTAGCCTTTGCCAGTGGGTCAGATCCCCCGTGTGGAGAAGGAACCCCCCACTCTACTGCCCAGCTGCGCTTATAGCTGTCAGGGCACTGACAGGGTGCCCACTCCACAGAGACTGAGGATGACTGCTGGGTTTGTACTTAAACCAACTAATCCTTTCACAGATCAAAGTATCCCCAACTAAAGCTTTAGATGCTTGCTATACATCCAGGCTGCCATATTAATAGATGCTCACATGGGGAAAAATCCCAACAGACCATAGCAATCATCCACAATAGATACACCTCTGGGTGCTTGACCAGGTCAGAACAGAACCAACATTTCCATTAGAAAGCCACAAATGATGAACACCAATCCTATTGTAATGTTTTCTTATGATTTCTGTATCAAAACCTTTCATGTAGGTGCTTTCTCTTCTTGTTTTTGTGAAGCATTTCCTCCATTCAGGTGACCAATGTGTGTGAGTGCTCTTAAAGTTGATTCATTTTGCCCACTCTACTGTCCTCTTATGCTATATTTGATCTCATCAACTTTTTTTTTCGAGAGCATTTTGGTGCAGATTATGAAGGCCACCCTGCTCTTTTTCCACTGTGTAAATCTAATAGTACTGAATCAGCGAGGTTACATAAAGAACACGCATGGACGCCACACAGTTAGTATATCTGCTAATCATTAAGCAAAAATACAACTGCATTTGTCTCTTCTCTAGGGATCCTTTTTTTTTTCCTTTTTAGGTTGTAGGCGGCGTGTCCTCATAAAATTAAAACCTTGATAAAACTGTAGTTTGTCAATTATACATCAAGCAGGTGATTTAACTGTGACTGTCTTAACTGCAGTCATAGATGAAACTCGTTCATCTCAATGGATGTATATATATATATATTTATTTTTTTTAATAGGAGGATTGACGCCTACATGCAAAGTCCATACAGATTTCTACCAAAGAACAGGCTCGGGACAAATGTTTACTTGTTGCAACACAGGCTTAACGTCTTTTCCAAAGCCAAACACCTATTCAGGAATGCAGAATGGTCCTGTTTGAACTACTAGGCGAGATAAGTCACCTGGTTTCCTTGGAATAGCTTAAACTACAGTCCGCAGTAAAAAGGCGATCATTCAACAGGCCTACATGAGGGAACACACCGTCAGACTGACACTGGTTTGGGAGACAGAGCAATTTAAACTGGACCGAATTCACTCACTGTTCAATTTATCAATTTAACTGGGGCGTCGCGGAATATTATGTCGTGTGTGGAAGACGAGTTTCAGGGCGTGTCACAACTGATTAAAACGAATAAATAAAGAAATAAAACATATGTGTCTCCCTAAAGAGATTAACGGATAGTGGGGGGTGGGGGGTGCAGCACAAGGATTTGGATTTATTTACTCCTTAAAAAGAATTTTCCAAATGCTGCACTGATATACGATGCGTCTAACGGCGACACTCCTAAACATTTCCAAACTTTATCTATCAGTTGAACCTTACCTTATAGACATTTTCCGTCATGCGGTGAACCTCGTCGGTACGAGACATGGTGGAATCTTCAGCCAGGACCATAAACGTTTCTGTCGTTGAGACGTTTATCCGCGTAAAAAGGAAAACCGGCGTAGAAAAAAAATAATACAAGTTTGATCTAACAAAGAGCGAGAAACGCGACACCAAGTGCGCGGCAGCGCACCCAAACCCTACTAACTAAACACACCTTCCCTCTCCAGCTGGTGGTCCGCTGGTGCCTTCAGGGACATCTGGATACTTCTGTTTTTCGCGATTGCGAGCCGGACTTCGGTTTTAACACGAAGTCTTTAAATAATTGAGAGAATGCCGTATGGATGTTTTTATTTCTCTGGAATATAATATGCGCTACTCGTGAACACAGAGCAAAGCCGTGTGGTAGATGGGGCCGAGTAACGGCGGCAGTCAGACATTAGCATGCCCTTTGGTCTCTCTTAAATCCCTTACGTCCTACGGTATGGGAATGCGGCATTGTCTTGTCAAAGTGCAGACATGGGCACCCGCCCCCTTTATCTTTGTACCAATGGAGCATCACCATTCCCATAGTGTTCCCAAGTAAATTCGCTCGTTGGCCCACAAATTTGCATCCTCCCAAAATACCAGCCCTCTTTTGGGAGTCTGACTGAGCATGCACAGTCTTTACAAGTTATGCATGTCACCGTGTAATTTCGTCTGCTGACACAAATAAGCCCATATATAAACGAAAAGATTATAAATGTTTGGTTAGACGTCCTCCTACATCATTTGGACAAAGTACTGCTACCCTGGCATCAGTGGAATTCATTGTGGCTGTACCCTGTTCATTAAAGCGATTGTGCTTGCTGCTGTTGCCGCTGGAGCTAAATATGAAGACGAGCAGAGCTGTTGTCCTTGTCAAACCATGTTTCCATTTACAGAATAAGATTCCATGTGCATTACTGCATTTCATAAAGCAGTAAGCAAATCATAGCAGTTGTTTTCTCGTTCACCGAAGGGAACAATTTGTGTTGGCCTCCATACTAATTAGTGTCAAAGTGCCTATTTCGAGTAGGATTGTAAATTCTACTCTGGTTTTCTTTTTCTAAACATCTCCCACTCACAATAAACATATTTTCCTTTAGTCAATAGGCATGTTCAGTGCCTTAAAGACAGGCTTTTTTGTTCAGCAGTGTCAAAAGACATCAAAGAGGGCCCCCTTCTGGCCAAAGTTAGGTGTTACATTTTTACTGGCAGAAACTGCAGGTCAGAGGTCATGAACTTAAGCTTATTTTGTTTTAATACACGTCTAATAAGGAGGAACATTTTATATTGATTAATTATATGACTAAGCAATACAACATCAAACCGGCTGTCAGTAAACTTAAATTGGTCTTTCTCTTTCCCAATTTAATGTGGCCATTGCCAGAAAGTGTCATCATTACACCACACACACTTCTCAGGAGTCGAACCCTGAATACTCAGCTGCTGCTAGGAGAAAAAAAAGGACACTCTCAGTGCAATATTTCATCTTTCTTTTTCAACCTTTTCTTCCTTCACATATACTGTGAGTTATTAATGTTTTAAAGACCATTAGGATGGTTTTGCAGGCCCCGTGTGGCCCATGGACCATCAATTAATGAATAGCTCTACAGGCCATGTTAATAGTTACAAAGAAAAATATAGAATCAGTTTTTGAAAAAAAGAAATACTCAAAACCACATCTGTTCTCACAGCTAAATTTAATTAGTAAAACAACTTAAATGAATGTTTAAAACATCTAAAAATGACCATGAAATTAACTGGTTTGGATCAGATCAGAGTACAGACAGAGCAGATGCTGTAAAATGTATGAGGATTCTCTGATGTCTGCAGGTCTCACCTTCAAAAACCAAAACTAAGAACAAAGAGATGCTGCTATGTTTACTTGCAGCTCAACACTGGATATCAACCACCAACTCTGACGGCTCCGTCAGGCTGCTAGCATCTCTCTGTTCGGTTTGCTCTTCAGTTCTCTTCTCTCTAGAGAAAAAACATACACAAAACAAAGGTAAGAAAAAGAGGATCAAAGTTTAACATTATATCACATGAAGCCTCAGAGCCCTTTAATGTGTTACAGGAATGTAAGAGTGTAAAAAGCATGACGAACTTACCTGGTTCGGCTTTGGCTGCCTCTGGTATCTCTGGTAATGGCTCCGTAGGGACTTCTGGAAGTGCTATGTCTTCTCCCTGTGCACATATACAGGGTCACATAAAAAAAAAGACAAACCAGCAAAAAAAAAGGGAAAAGACATCATTTAACAAGCTGAAAAAAATGCATTCAGTTACTGAAGATTCAGGAGGTCTAATAAGAAGTGATTCTATTGATAAAATGTCTGTTTCCAGGTGTTTCCAGCTCCAGTCCGAGGCGTCCACAGTCATTATGAACGGCAGTGTTGTGCTTTCACTGACAGAACAACTGTGCCACATAAATCATTTAAACTAACCCAGATAAATAGCTTCAAATTCTCTATAAAACTGAACCAGTACTTGATTCAATACCTTTTAATATTAATATCAAACTACTACAAATTACACAATTTTGTTTAAAATCAACAAAGCTCTGGAAGAATAGTTTTGGTACACAACAGTTGTGTGCGATCACTGTTGGCCAGTGCAAAATTTATATTTATAGAGTTCCTGACACGGACCAGACCTTTCGAGCATAGTTCACACGTTCCGTTTGGGAATCCTATTCCATAACTTCGATGTCTCCCAGCATTACCATCTCAAGAGACAGTCTTATTATTCGAGCCAAGAAAAGTCTATAGAAACAGTGTAAGCCAACGCTCTGGTCGATCCAGTGTTTTACCATCCACACTAAAAATGATATCCTCTCAATTTATCCTGAAACTTGGGCTGCTCATACAGTTTTAAACAGAGTCTATATATATTTAGCATGATTCATATTTAATTGATTTAATATAAAATTATATGTAAAGGTCAATTTTGCCTTGAAATTCCTTTACTTATAGTGTTTGAACGACCAAATCTTTTCAAGTTTTAGAAAAGATTAGCAATAAAAATGTCATTTAGCAGGAGAACAGCTACATTTTGCCTGCAGTACCTTAGATAAAACTTCCCCCACTGAATTACAGTCTCCAAATTTCATTTGTATTACTATGCGTGTTCAAGTGTGAAACAGACATTTCTGAAGTTTGATACAACGGAGAGAGGATGCGTGCCATTTAGAATGATAACTGCAATACAACAGCAGAACAATCTGCAATGATATTAATCACTATCAATTAGTTCAATTAAAATCCACAATAGTTTCAATTACAGCTTGTTAATATAGAACAACTGTGCGGTAAAGTGAGCAAAATTATTTGGGCGTAGCGGAATCACTCACAGAGATTTTCTGCAAATCTGAGGTCAAACAGACAACATCTATTTTGACATAATGTGCTTTCATGATCTGATTTCTCAGATCTGCGTCCGCCACACAGCCAGCAGCTAAAGACTTAGTGCAACTATAAAAGTTGGACAAACGCTCTGCAGAATCTGGCGTATAAACATTTAAGCATGCAGTGTAACACTTACCTGAGTGATAGCTTCCAGCTCTGCCAAAACAGCGTCCTCGTCTTCCTGAGTCAGGGCTCCAGCCAACATTTCATCTATTTGCTACGGTAAAAAAAGAAAATACATAGTCTGTATACAGAAAATACACACATTGTTATATGGCGTATTTATACATATACCCTAACCCACATTTTTTATTTTCTGTAAAGATAATTCTGTACAGTTGTATAAAAGCAATGAAATGAAATAAAGTATTTACCCTTTGATATTCAATAGATTCCTGGGTCTCATCAAGGATTCTTTCCACATCCTCTATTGACATGATCTGCAAACAAAGAAAGGAAGCCCATGTTAAAGACAGAAATGTTTTAGATGCTGAGTGCTTAGTCTGGCTGGCTTTTTGAATTTCCTAAGCAAAATCTCCTAACTGTATGCAAGGATGTGCAGCAGTCACACCACTGTAGTCAAGGCTTTTCTTCTTAATCCCTTAATCTTCAAACAATGTGCGCAAGCTATGCTAGCGATGCACAAAGCAAAAGCCTTCTTTGCTTCTCAATCCTCATCCAGGGATGACATTAGAAAAAGTATGCTTTTCAGTGGGAACTTTGACACTGTTACAATTAGCACTGATACATGCAAAGCACCAGGAGGTATTAATAAACTGTGACTGGCATATTCATGTGGAGGTGGAGAAAAAAGTACATATATATCTTACCTGGTGCATACTTTTCAGGCAGTCATTGCCAACCTTAAGTCCCTCAATGACTTTCATTTCAATCTGCATAAACTCGATATCTTGAACCTGTGGATAAACAGAAATGTGGTGAGATTTCATCACCAATAAAAACAGTGAGCTCTTTCTCTTCTCCAATCTTTAAAACAAACACAAATAAATGAGAAACTATCATGATCCTGCCATTCAGCATTGGCACTTAAGCTAAATGTAAGCCTTGTATGCTGTCAATACTGAGATGGTATTTTCCTTTTTGTTAGGTGATAAAAATGTTAAGTTTTCAGAAAACAGAGGTTGGTAAACAGATTCTTACCATGCGCTCGAGGTTGGAAATCTGACTTTCAGTTTTGTCTAATAACTGATCCTGATATCTTTTTTTCTTCAGAAGCAGCAGTGCTTTCCTGAAATCACAAATTCTAATGTAAACATCTAGAGCATAAAAACAGTGTACACCTTTACCTGCAGATAGAATAGTGTCTAATACTTCTACAGCTAAAAAGGCTATTTCACAAGCAATTATTTATTCATACTTATCTTTCATGTATCTATTTACTCTGCTTTCTTTCATGATGATCTCACATGAGAACAGATGTGGTTTAATATATGAACGTCTGCTTACTCTTTTTTGCCATCTTTTATCAACTGCTTTGCCAGAAGTCGTTCTTTTTCGAGCTGTAAGTTTATTTTCTTCTGATACTGCTTCAACTTATCTCTCTGCTGTTTCAGTTGCTGAGGGGAAAGAAAGCAAGATACAGTTCAAATCCAGGATTATAAAAGAACAACAGGATTTCTATGGAGCAGCCTATGCAGGAAATCAGACGAACAGGGCGGAATAAACAATACATATTTTCTGATATCACTTTAAACAATATCTAAATAATCAGTCATCTCACAATATATCTATAAACGGAGCGATGAAATTACAGTAAAATCTATGGTTAAGTGGATCACCCAGCATTAATCCGTGTTGCTTTTTAACCAAAGCAATGAGAAGCCGCTGCTAATAGCCTTATGTCCGTATAACGGAGCGGCTACACCTGCTATCAGCTCACCAAAACTGCCTTGTCTTGCTCCGTTACTCGAGAAGGTCGGCTCTTTTTCCCAAAGACGTTTCCCATTATTCAGCCACATCTCCGCCACATCCTCCTACGTCTATATACAGAATACTACGTAATAATTAACATTTTTTCCCCACAGCCTTACACGGCTAGCAAAGCTAACTGACTACACCATGTCCATGTACTGTTTCCGTGTTTTCTACGGCAAGCGAGGCAGGTCCAAATACGTTGCGTATGACCATATAATAGATAACTTGTTCACACCCTCCAGACAGAGTGGTGCTTTGATATACCACAGATCCACTCACAGATCCATACGTTCCTTGGAATGAAAATGTATAAAATTCCTATATTTTTAGCGACGTGAACCGAGATTTCACCTTCAATCGCTTGGTTGCAATAAACAGGCCCAGGATCCCCAGGGGTTCCTAGATCAGCACCATGGACAGCGATCTTTTTTGTTAAAATAGTACATAGTAATAGTGAACAGATGGACCAATCATTCTTTTATAACATTTTATTTGTTCTTGTAATCATAATAATAATATGCAATGAATATTGATATTGAAAGATATGTTGATTAAGTAGACAAAAACATAGAACAGTTGCAAAAAACTAAGTGGAGTCAAGAGTGCAATGTTTTTCATTTTAAACAACAGTAAACTAGAAAATTTGACCATTTTTGTAAACCTAAAAAAACAACCTCAAAGGGAAATCTATACAAAATGCTGTTTGCGTTGAATTGGTCTTTTCTTACAATTGGTCTTTGATGTAAAAGTTTTAAAAAGATAAGATTCTTAACTGGATGCAAGTTGTTGTTTCTTTCCCCAATTCTGTTGAAGGTCTTTTAAAGGGTATTATTGACTACTCTCATGCTCTGATGACAGGGGACATAGCGTGAAGCTCTGACACACTTTTCATCTCTAAAGAGGCTGTTGGCAACATGGGTTGAAACTATTGTATTAGATAATCAGATCTTTCAAGTCAAAGTACAATAAATATGTGAAGAAAACAAACACGGCTTGGGCCTTTATATTTTGTAAAGCCAAGCTAATATATGTTCAAATATTCTTCTTTGCACAATTACTTCTTTTTTTTTTCTTTTAAGTTATGGGATATAATGAGGACAGTAGTCCTTGTGACATCTGTTGGCGCCCTAAATCCCAGTTAGCCTAAAAGCGTTACCGAATGTCATTTTCACCAGAGAGCAAGACAAAAAAAGAGAGCAAACATTAAATCAGTTAGTCTAAATGTAGCATTTTATGGCTGAAGTTCGCTTTCATTTGATACATTATACAACATAGAAAATAGTATATAACTGTTATTTTCAACAATTTCAAGATTGTCAATAGCCAAGTGGATCTGAACAAAAATCCAATTTCTGCACACCGTACTCATAATTACATCAGTCATTAGTGGCACTGGTTCAGAAACATAAAAACAAAACAAACAACAAAAAAGCAAACATTTCAATGTACTGTTGCTCATACACATTTTTATTATTTTTTTATTTTTTAGAAAGTCACAACACCCTTATAAAGCCAGGATATGAAAATCCAAGCTTTTTCAGCTAAGAGGCTCAAGAAATATTTCCCAAATGTTACTTAAAACGGCAATAAGAAATACGTCTATTTGACTCATTCTTACAGCCCTATTTGGCTGTTCAAAATTTCATTACATGATTTGTTAGGTTTTTTAATGACACATTCAATTACTATAAGGTCATTTCAAAGATGAATGTATTTAATTTCATATTGCACCATTCAAAAAGACAAGGCCAAAAAAATTCACTTAATTGCATGGGATGCTGCAAAAATGCCATCCTTTCAATCTATTCCACAGCTTTTGAATTTGTTTCACATGAATACTTATAATTTGAGTAACAGTTTTTCAAGAAAATATGCTAAAAGGGAAAAAGAAAAAAACACCATTCAGCCTTGGGATTCTGTAGTACAGGCCCTTTCTCTTCAACACAGCACTTTCCACGCATTGCACTGATGTGTTACAGTAGTAATTGCTTCAGTATGGCCCACTTTCATGTCTGAGATTTAATGGCAGGCTCGTACTTCTGTAAACAGGATTATGTCTTGTGGTCGGTCTTCCTGGTAGGAGCTCAGAGTCTTAGACAGAAGCACAGAGGACTGCTTGGTAGGTAACAGGTTAGACCTGGAAGTCTGTCCCAAAGTGTCTGATCTGAGCCTCGGTCATTGAAACATAGGTGGTCCTCATGCTAGGTGAATACTGCATGAAAAAAGAAAATGGAAAAACAAGATTTAAGGAGATGTTCATTATGCAATACAATATTGTAAAAATAAAACAAATAATGACATAATGTTATACAAGTTTGTGAGCATTCCTTTGTGCTGTTTCTTAATTTGAAAACCTGCAGATTTAGGAGGTATGCTATTTTTTTGAGGTGTTAAAGAGTGTGAAGAAAGGATGGAGAGCATAAATGAGCTTACACAGAATAATTTTGACTCAAATGCAACACCTCGGACAACACAATGAGGAGGAGACCATCCACAGAAATGTAATGGAGCTTAAAGGATATCCGTGGGCTCTAGGTTTTAGGCTGAAGGGATCTGTATGGCAAATGTCATGAGTATGTGGGAAAGGGGTAAAATTAATGAAGAAGATTTAAAAAATATATATCGTTCATGTGTTGAAAGCCAAAGAACAAAAATGTAAAAAGTTATTAACAAAACCCTGCTCTATATTCAGCAGTTAAAAAATATACTGCCAAACAACTTATGTGATAAAACTCATACAAAATGTAGGAAAGAGCTGATTCATCAAAAACAACAAAAAAAAAAAAAACCAAGAAGATATGCTATATTTGTCAGTGTGTAAACTCAAGAATTTATTGAAAATATAGTTTTAGTTTTAAACATCTTTGCAAAAGCAGCAAAGAACAGCTACCAATTCCCGTGGAGTGTCTCACAGAGGCAAAAAATATTTTAAGCAATTTTCAAAATTCTCTTGCTCCTTTACCCTCTCAAATGTTGTTTGATATGTTGTGAATGTAGTTCAAGCCACAAAAGTGAAAAAAAAACTTAGCATAAAAAGTCATACAACAGAAACATTGGGCATGCATTTCTTATTATTTTCTATGTGTTATGTATTATTTAGGACCTGCTCTAAAAACACAACACACTGTACATTATGAATGCACAGTTAGAAGTGCATACCCAAAAATATATTGAGCAGGCAGCAATGTTTGTGGTACCACCTCATTACACTAATTTAATCGCAAATAAATGTGTTATCTTTAAAGTGTACTGAAGGATATTTTCGACTAAAACTAAGAACAAGGAAAAAATAATCCAAACCTTGGTGAAAAGAAAAATAAGGATTTGATCCTGGCAGCTAGAAATAAATGGAATTCCACAAATGCCCAGCAGAGATCAGTCTTCCATCAGAAGCACAGATATAACCGTTTTTACAACATCTTGACAATGAGCAGCTTGGAATGTATAGGGATTATGTTCATGCTTTCTATGGCAGACATCATCAACATGTTCATCACGCTAGAGATACCGGAGATTCACAGGGCCAACGCACCGAGGGAGGTGGGGATCCTCTCCCTATCAGAGGTACATTCTCATAACGTGGGGTCCCTCCAAACAGCATAGACTGATTCCTGTGACAGAGAGAAAAGAAAAGGTTACAAAAGATTAAACACACAAATACTCCATCGGTAATTGTCAAGAGAAAACACAGCTCAATTTTCACCTCTCTACATTGACTCTATCTTCAATTTAAAATACAATTTCTAATTCATTTTAGCTAATAAAAACAGACAGTCTAGCTCCACTGTACTGTGATATCTTATCATTCCATGTTAATATACAAGAGCTCGGTCTGTCTCTGGAGGACACACAGAGTCTTTAGATGTCAGGTCCTTCTCATGGAACCAACTTCCAGTTTGGGTTTGGGATTCAAAATTGCTTACGGAAACTAAGCTAAATAGTTACTCCATTCATAGCTTTCATTGGCCCTTACAATAGCTTGTATCAATACTTAACTGCTATTTTCATGGCCGTTATCTTACAATTTTTACCCTATGTAATTTCCTCGTAATTACATTTCATTGGACTGCTTTTCTTTGTTCTGTGGAGCATCTAAAGTCGAACTTCAATGCTTAACACATCTAATGAATAAAGCTATTTTGAGATTATCTTACATGTATTCAGGTGGTGGTATTGTTGAAGTAGAAGCAGATTGCGGCGGTGGATGAAGGCTGACTTGGCTGCCAAGGCTGCTGATATAACTACAGAAACTGTGTGTGTTTGACCTTCTGGGATTATACGATAGGCGTCGTCCTTGGGGGTTGAATGGGTCTTCCTCATCTATGTCATTGTACTCTTTATCCCTAATGAGTTACAAATCCACACACAGAGGTAGAAACAGTACATTCATGAACGCTTTGAAGAAGTGCATCTTGGGCAGTACGTGATGGGATAAAGAGGTCACTCGGCACTGACCTGCTGCCGATTAGTGTCCACAATCGGAAAATGACACACAACATGGCAGAGAGTGCGCAGGCAGCCAGAAGAGAAAACAACATGAGGTAGAGAAGCCCCTCCGCTCCATCATAGCACACGCCAATCAATGCATCCAGATAGTCCTGGAAAAATACGTTGTCAATGTCCAGGGAAAAAAAGCCATAACACCACAAGCATTACACACCGGTGCTACCATCTATAGCCTGAGTTTTATGTAGCATTACATTTTCCATTATTTATTTCTACTTGAACTGACAGTGTTTGCACACATGCTCTGAAGTTTTCATGAGGTATAATCATCATCATCATAAATTCTTACTAATTAGAGCAATTATACTTGATCATTGTGCATTGATACATTTAAAGTCATAAGACTTCTATTTGAGCTTATAATTCAAATTTAGATGTAGTTTAACAGAGATCAGTCAAGGACCATGAACAATGTTTGAAATCAGATTTGAAAGTAAACAGTTTTCAGTGCTCTTTTGGTGGAAGAAAATAACTCCTTTTATCCCAGAAATAGTGACAAGAATCCAAGACTCAGACTAATGCATGGTCCTCTGATAACATGCCTGTTATTGATGCATTTTTGTTTGATTTTCTAGTACTTTGCATTCTCATGTTTTCACTGCTGTTGAGTTACTGAAAAACTGTGACTGGTTTAGAGGATTGGTCTATTTGACATTAATTGTTCGCATTTATGAGACCTCCTTGTTTACAATCCCAAGTAGCATTTTTCACAGGCTCATGCTGAAATCACAGCTGGACATTATTCAAATGTATCTTTAATTGACACAATTCTGACTATTCATACAAAAGCACACAAAATAAGGTGGAAAATGGCAGACAACTAAATTCTTTATAAAGCTTTAAGGCCTCCTACGGAGAATTCCTTCTAAATGTGTCCTGTTCAGTCTGACCATACCTTATGCAGCCCCCGACAGTCCAGCAAAACTGTTAGCTGGTGAAGACTGAACTCTGTGGAATTTAACAGTCGCTGGATCCCTAAAAGGTCTCTCTGCATAACAGGATGTAAAAAAGGGCTACAATGAAACATAACTTTCCACAGTTTGGTACGATAGTATGTCAGCCAGTTACTCACCTCAGAAGTGGGGAAAACTGGCACATAGTACTGCAGAAAGCCTTGGATCTGGATTTGCATGGTGGTCAGAGAGCGCTGACAGATTGTTAGAGACTGTGAAAACACAATCACCCGCCACATCACACACAGATCCAAAACATACAATGAGAGGATCTTATCAAGAAGAGAATTGTTTAGAAGGATGCGGCATGTAAACAGATAATTCTGCGTTAAATAAGGCTTGATAATACGCTTAACACCGAACAAATTTCTTTTTAGACAGATTATCCTATAGCGTCAATTGTCCCATCCACTGTGATCCGCTCTGCCAATTCCACAAACAAAATTTCAAACATAAACAAAAGAGCAATATTTATATAATCTGGGACATCAGAATAAAGATGATTCTTTCACAATGAACAAGCACATTTTTAATCCATGGATGGGTGCTATAATGGTAGCTTAGCACGTGGGCTTTAATTGATACAGGTCATGGATGTAATTCACTTTCTTAAGACTAACATAATATCTACCACACAGATGCAGAGCCACTCCAGATCATGAACAACCCTCCCCCAGATTCACTCTGTACAAAAACACATTGAAAGTTGGGTACATGTTTTATGTTTATTAGAAAAGCCTGTCAATGTGGAGTTGCCTTGGAAATAAGTCTTCTGAGTAGCAGCTGATAAATTCCATGATAATTATACAAAAACAGAAAAAGAGTTGATGAATGAATAGGCCTCAAGCACAGAAATATATGAGTTGACGATATATATATAGATATATAAATATAACCACTGTGGACCTAGCAACGAAAAAGATGCATCTCACAAGAAGAAAATGCAATGGAGAAAATGCAGTGTGTGTGTTCCTTGTTAAACGAGCACATGAGTAAGCAGACAGCTAGGACATTTAGTCAATACCTGTTGGTAGGGGTTTGGCAGATTTGGACTGCAGAACAAATAATAGTGAGCCACATCTGCAAGGTGAAAGAACGAGATTAGTCAGCTTTGTGTCTTAAATTCAGTGACAAGAGCTGGGTTTTTAAGTATTCTGTATGTTGGGAAAATTACCTGCACTGATGAAATCCTTGGTTTGGTTGACAATATACTTGTCTGGTAAGACACAGAAGTCACTTATGCCCTGTAGAGAAACAAAAACTAATTTATTGATCTATTCTTGCAAAACTAAGAGAAGTGCAACATAAAATTGGGCAGCTATAAATAAAAAATATCTAAATTCAAAAATGGAAATCTAAATTCCATTGAAAACAATAACATGAGAACAGGAAAAAAGTGCTTTTTGTATCTGCCAAAATAGAGATAGTCTCTCCCTGGCACTCCCTGTGAGGCATAGCTGAAGAGATATGACAGTATGCAGATCTGCTCTGGATTTACAAGGAAATTATGAGAAGCACAAACCCAAAAAGAGACAAAGCTCTATTTGTATGCTATTTCAACAGTCCCAATGAATCTGTTTTTTAACAAGTCTAAAAATCAGGTAAATAATACCCGAGTTATTATGTTGAACAACAACACATCTTATTTAGCCAATATGCAGAAGCAGTGAGTGTTAAACTAAGTACGCTCTCATTGTTACAAAACGAACTTGGAGAGTAAGACGCAGCCTAATGCGTCTAATCAAAAGCCTGATGAATCAATTCACTGATCATTCCCGCCAACTCATAGAAGCAGAAGTTTTTGTGGTGTTCTGGTCTGGCATTCTGGTCTGGATATCGTGATCAGCTGATCAGCTGATCTCCATGATCACTGATCAGTCAATAGTGAGAAAGATTAAACTCGAGTGGAAAACATTCAAGACTGCTGTGAATTTCCCCAGGAAAGAATGTCCAAGGAACTTCACCACATGTTCAGACTGTGCATGGTTTAGAGGTTTTATCAAACTTGTTTTATTAAGCTCCACATTTAAACATTTTCTTGCAATGTTACTCATCTACTCTAGTTCAAATCGACAATCATTAATTGGTGCTCCTGTATTATGCACAGCCTTTATCCATGTCATCACATGATATTTGTTTTTAGCAAAAAAACAATACAATTAAATAAAAAACAATCACACGTACGGACACTGTAAGAATGTTCCCCTTCATCTTTATCTCATTATACCACCAGGGACATTTTGTTTATGCTCTGTCTCATCAAATATGCATGAATCTCTGAGTATTTTCTAGGACACCATCGTCATAATCTTTCCTCTCAAAAAGCATAAATTTTCATACATGCATTTCTTTCCCATGATGTGCATACACTGCAAGTGTTTGCATACTGTCCCACATTGAATACCTGGTTGGTTCTGTATTGTAAAACCTTTCATTTTAATTACTAGTTCACATATTAAACTTTTGACACCTGACGTAATTCATATGTGTACCTTAATTCTGAGAATGCTAATGAGTAAATAGCTGGCCACGGATTTTACCTCAGCTCATCCATGACATAACATTCCAGTGGGTGAGAGATGTAAGACAACCACATGTGTTACAGTTATTTATTCTGGAATGGCTGACCTAAAAGGTCAGAGGTTTCGGTGAAAGCTTACGTCCGACTATAAGGCACCAAGCTAAGATATAGTTATAGATAGAGACATTGACGATTCGAAAAAGAAAATCCATGAAATTGATTTCAGGTTAAAATCTATTCCCCCTTTCTCCCATTTGCCTAATTTGAAACAGCTGCTAAAATGCCAAATCCAAAGGGATTATCCACAGATGTGAGGCTCCCCTACAGGGGACAGGGAAAACAAGGATAGGATACAGTGGACATAAGAGATGGAGAAAGTCTAGAAGCATGAACCCCCTATGGTGCCCCTAATTCAAGCACCATTAAACACACCAAGCCCAGATGCATGGAACACATGGTGTATAATCTTTTAGATAGAGCAATCTGCCAGAAATAAGAGTGCCTGGAAGAGAAATAAAAACGAGCACAGCTACCAAAGACACTGAAGAAATTAAATGCAGCAATTAAAACTAAAAAGCTGCTTTATTTACAGCAGGGCTAAGGACTCTTGAACCTAGAAGACGAGAGATATGTAATCAGCTTTAGGGAACGGCCTTAGAACAGAGCGTACTATACACCACAGACAGATATAGGCACCTTTCAAGAAGCGGACATGTTTGTTCATAAGAAAATTCGGGAAAACAAGGGATATGTTGCATGTGACAGAACAATCAACGGTGAATTTTAGAGCATGTGATGATTTGATTCTAAAAACTCAATCATACAAACTGGATTTAGAAAAAAATAAAAATAAAAAGTTCGGTGATGAGAGTTCAAGCCAATAAATGATTGTTTACTCACCACAGCTGTAGCTGTGCCAGTTCCAAGTGAGGCCCAGCTCAGGATCAAAGACAATATGACAAACCCCATGATCCTGGAGCAAATGGAAAGGATGAGGTGGAGGTGGAGGTGATGACGCAGAGATGCAAGCAAAGGAGAAAGAAAAATGGGAAGAATGTGATGAATAGGTTTGGTTTTCTGCTGTGCCAGTGATCATCCGCCCTATTTTCAACCACTGAATTAGATTTATTCTTCTCAGTATTTGCTTGGAAATTGTTCTCTTTCTAACCCTGACCCTCACCCTGAAGATGATGGCCCTACTGTCACTGTGTTTTATAGACTATAGAGCTTAAATCTGATGTTTTAAAAAAGTAATATCAAATATGTGATTTGTGACTCAATTATCTTATTTGCTGTTGAAAATTGTACAATTATATCGTACTGTACTCAGAAATATAATACAGAATAAAAAAAATAAAAAAATAGTCATTATCAAAGTGCACCTGATAATTACTGTCACAAGGTTAAGACTTTACTTCATTTTTGTAAAATATGTTCACATGTATTGTTGTGGTATAATTTAATTATAAAATAAAAGTCTCTCTATCGCAATTTTCTAAGAGACCACCGAGTTACAAAGTCATCACTGCCAACTAATTTCATACAGCTAAACTTTTTTTAAGCCTTAAAATGGAAGATTTAGTGGCCTTGAATCGACCAGTAGACAGACAAGAGAAGGGATCAGAGAGGGGATTGACTCAATCCCCGGCTGGCTGCGACAAAGACCTGGTTAGCTCCATGACCTTATAACAAGCATTCCAGGACTGCAGGCGTGAGCATGGCCATGCCCCCATTGTTTCTCTGTGTTATCCCTCTAATGATCTAGTAACCTCTGGCATCTATGAAGATATACTATAGAATTAAAATATCCTGACGTTTATAGGTCAGTCCTTTTACCTAACCAACTTAAACATGTAGCATCAAAGCTATTGACATTCTCCTGACACTTCCTGCAAATTGATTTGTCTTTTTTATTTTTATGTATTAATTATGTGTTAGGGTATCAGTGCTGATCAAAAGCTACCTCAAGCATCTCCCCTTTTTTGACCACCTTTGTTGAATTTTTTTTAAAAACAATGTGACCACTGGCATCAGCATGAAACATGAACATGAGTTTGATAAATCATGTAAAAAGAGACAGAAATTGGCCCCCTGATGGATGTAAAGGGGCCTGCATGAGCTTTGCCTTTCCATTCACTCTTGAGACCTCCTTGAAAGCAACAATGAAGCAGGCTGAGAGCACTTAATAATTAGTTAAGGGAGCAGACATATCCTGCTCAGGCGATCAATAGGCATTAGTAATGGCCATTAGAGAGGGATGTGAAGAGCGATCCCGTGCATCATCTGCTAGCGCTGACACGTAGGTTGCACTAAATTGGGCAAATGGGATGAGGACTTAGAATTGTGGATTTGCTCGTCAGACAGCAGTAGTGATTTGAATCACTAGCTGCGGTTTACTAAACCAAATGTTCCTCCAGTGCAGTGGTGTGTCTGTGCGTCGGAGTTTATGATAGTTTACAGCTGCTATAACGGCATGCGCAACAAAAGCAAAGCTCGGAGGAGATGGAGAAGATGTAATACCATCATGCGAGTTCTTAATGGAGTGCCCCACCATAAATTTGAAATTGCACTCATATTGTGGCATATTGTCTATATTTTCCCAATCAGACCAAATATGTACCCGATGAATAAAAATTGGCTAACGCTTAAGTTAAAACCACATGCATCCAAATAATGGTACCTACGCGATAAGCAGCCGCTGAGATTGCTTGGCCATCCCCAAACACATGGCCAAGCAGATAACCAGATCCAGGATCAGCAACAGCAGATAACTCAGCCATCTGAAAGAAATACAGGGAACTAAAACCTCAACAACAATCCCCAGAAAGCACACTTCACGCACACATGCAAGCCTCAGCAAGTGTGAGATAAACATATATTAAAGGCTGAATGTGTTGGCTCTGTGTTTTAGGTCAGCACTCGAGTCTTCCTAGTTAGAGTCCAGTAATTTCCAGCTTGCTGGGCTAAATAATTCAATACCACCAATCGATGGGCATCAATTTTTCATTCTTCTTTGAAAATGTCATTAAAAGGAACGGCTAGTATAAGCATAGGTTTAAAGTACCTATTCTAACCATCCAAACAAATGGCGATTCTTAATTCTTATGTATAGCACCTCATGACTCTGTAGCATGGTTACAGCCATGGCAAACATGGATGTGCTGGATGTCACACAAACATTCATTTTCTCAGCGTACCACACTTGGACACCAGGTTAATGTGGTGTACGTGCAGCATAGCAGTAAATCTGTACACCAAAGACAGTAGTAATTATAATTCCCTGATGTTCACAAAGAAGAACATACGTACTCGCATAGGTTCATTAAAATGTAGACTGGCCACTCGGTCTGCACATGAGGTCATGTTCAAATAACACTTGGTCGGGTGTAACATTTTCAGTTAATCCATAAAGCCCTGCTGCAGTACGTTCAATAGTTATATGAAATCCAATGAAAAACCAGGGGATCAGTGCCCAAAGAAGATATGATGTCCATCCAGAAAGGACACACCATGTGGAGCAATTGAGGACAGTGTATGCTATTAATATAGGGATATTGTATTATGTTAATGATCTTAATGTCGCTTTGTCTTTCTAGAAATGATAGATACTTTCCAATCCAACAGAGGACAAAAGCAACAGATACGGAAAAAAAATTCACATCTTGGACTGGTCCCCAGTCAATGTGAGTGTGTGGTTGTTCATTTCTATGTGATGGAATTGTAAACTGACCACTGTGTAGTCGGCCTCTCATCCAAGGTCATCTGGGATAGGCTCCAGAACACTTGTGAACACTTTTTTTTCTTGTAAAACAATACGAGAGAATGGAAGCTCAGAGTAATTTGATCCATATGGATATGGTTAAGCAGACACATGCAGGAATGATTCCAAATCCGTCCATTCAATAGCTCTGCTCAATCAATTTTGTATGATTTCAGTTGTCAACTGTTTTATTGTTTCCATATGTAAAAATATCCCTTTTTTACAGCTCTTAGTTGTTGTTTACTTATTTAAATAAGGAAATGTATTATATGCATAAGTAATGAAGATTTCAAGAATATAATGTATTGTTGGGACTTTCATGTCCTTTAAATTAATGCATGCAATTCAATGTTAAATATTGCATGGACTTGAGAAAAAACTCAGCTTTAATCATTCTTTAAAGGTAATCATTGTGATGGTAAAGTTTGTGTTCTGTTTGTGTTGTTCCCAAAAATATGGGAGCTTTCTGGATTTTTATTTTCAGTTTAAAATACTTAACTCTTCTATAGGCCTGCCCACCAAATTTATCTGAAAGGTACATTTCATTCCATAAAAAGTATGATATCATGCTACATTACAATGTAGAAAAAACACTAATTTGAGCTTTGGGAACATTTTCTAAAACGGTAAATCTTGAAAATAACCAGGGAATATATTAATGGGATGATTAATTCATACACACACCTACAATATGATTGGTATTACAGAGGTGATTTTAGTTACAATTCACAATGACATGCATAATCACTGGCAGAATATTTTTATTTGACACAAACAGAGCATAAATACTTCAAAACATTTTAATAATTTGCTGGTATTTCCTGTATGGTTAATAAATTAGATTTATGCTTTTATCTTTATATTTTTGTTGAAAGAAGAAAGAAGAATATCTGTCTGTATGGTATTACATGATGATAACGTATACAAATAATATATATATATATATATATATAAAATAGTTAACTGCAGAGTGGGAAATTAGTTCAATATCAGATTTTATTTATTCTGCTATCAGGAAAAATTCAGCTTTTCCAGTGTGAATTCTAAGAGGGAGATCAATGAAAACCCATCTGCTCTGTGTCTGTTCTGGATGACTTTTAATCCCTGTCTGAGCTGCTTGTTTACTCTATCCAAACACAAATTAAATAAAATGATCTCTATCACTTCACAGGAGTTGGTTAGGTTCCACGTACCTGTAATACTCAACGAAAGCAGTTTGGTTCGCAATGGCTGCCAAGTCAGCCTTAGTCTTGTCTATGTCTGGCAGAGCCGTCAGCTCACGGATTACATTGTTGGCCATTAGCTGCATGAAGCGCAGAGCTTGGAGGTAGTCAGCCCTTGCAGCAAATATTTCATCGAGGCGTTCCAAGTGCTGCTTGAGTCCAGTTTCCACATTTCCTAGAGATCCTGCAACCTAAAGAAACAGAAAAAAAAAATCGAAACAAAGATAAATTAAGGAAGTTTGAACTGCTACAGGGGAATGTGGAGTAAGAGAGAATATATCATCAGAATGAAACATAAATAAATCAATAAAATGCACTCATCCTGTTCATGTAATAAATATATAGCTAGCTGTGGAAAAACAAAGGAGCTCTCGCCTGGGAAAAGACTAAATTTTTATTTTCAACTGTGTTTAATTCAGATAAACAATGTTATGGTGGAAAACAGATAACAATACCAGGGGGGTCTGTTATCAGAGGGGTGTGTGATAGAGAGACCAGAGGTGCTAGTAAGCATGGTGGAATACAGTGAGTGTAAATTACCCTTCAGTTTTTAAAATAAAATGTAATAATGTGTGGAATTGTGGCACTTTTACAAAAAAATGCATTGCCATTTCTTTTCCGAGCCCATCGGATGAGGAACCCAGTACTCATCTGACTGGCATGTGCTCCAACCATTTCATTATTTTTTCGCTGCAGAACAATTAATAACCTGCTGCAGATTGTTGGGGCATTTTAAATAAGATGAGCATCATGAACGCTTTTTTTAATTGAAAATTCAATCTGTCCTTGCTATAAGCATAATGAGATGACTTTATTCCAATCTTTCCCTAAGAGTCTCTTATCTATAGACAGCTCAGCTTAACTAGCCATTTCTGACTGTTAATAAATCAATCCGAAAGTGATTTTGGCCAGGACTTGGAGGATTAAATACAAAACACTTCTGGTAAAAAAAATAAAAAAAATTGTAATTCTTAAGTATCGAAACCTGCAGCAGCCCTGCTTTCTTGATCGGTTTTCTTTTTCTCTTTTCTGAGTGGGACTGTTCATTCCCACTCTATGAAAATTCACAACAAAGAAGACAGTGTATCTCTCTCTCCTTGACACAGCAACTGACATGGCAAAAACGTCACACTCTTGATTCAATTTTACTGAGTGATGACACGGATGGTTTCTAAGTAAGACCCCAGAACGAGTGCCAGTGAACAGATGGAGCAAAGATACAGGCTGTCCTTTTCCTATACTCCAGCAATCCCAAAGGGTAGAGAATGTGATTCCCATTAAACTGCTCTCGCTCCCCACTCCTATGTTCATCATCTCTCACAGTTCCTGCCACAACGCCTCAAATCTTATCTCCACACCAGTCTGCTCTGCTGTGAGGAACGGAATCCATCAGCTAGCTGCAAGGAGTGATCCACATTTCCCTAATCTGGACTGCCCTGTCTTCCTTTAAAATGGATTAAGGCTCTCTTTTACAGAAAATCAGGTCACAAGGAGGATCCTCTCTTTACTGGACATGCCTGTAAAATGAGACTCACAGCAGCTCAACCCCAAATGCCAATTTCACATGCGACTGCTCTGCTTAAAGCCTTCACTGATTTAAGAGTATTCACTTCAGGATTAAAACAATATACGATCTCATCACTTCAAACTCCATAAACGTTATAAATTGAGAAACAAGGTCCCTGAAAGAGACATTTAAGGGGAACTGATATATAATGCAGTATGAATGTAGCAATGATTTTGTTCCAAGAATCACTGGGCAGCTTTCAATTTCAAAGAGGAAGCACTGCATGTAAGAGAGTAAGCACTGCTGCAAATTGGAAGCACGCATTTTGATAGAGTGTGATTGCCGTGTTCTCTTATCCATTATTTCGTGGCAGCAGTGAAGAGCCCTTAATATTGCAACCTGAAGATTGGAAACAAGACTGAAATACAAAATGCGTACAAAACAATCAAAAGCTCCCCTCAGCAGAAAAAGGAAAGCGGCCTTCTTCATCCGATCTTCCCTTCAATGAAACATGATAATCACTTTTAGACTGTGAGTGCACATTTAATGGTGAGAAGCTCTTTAATACCATCAGAAAAGTCAAACGTCTCGCAGCCTAAATGACCCATCCAACCGGAGCATGAAGAAATAAATATGCTGGTGCTCTAAGTTCTACCTCTTCAGTGGGAGATTGGAAGTAGTAAAATGCCATCACATGATGAAAACAAAACAAAAGAAAATTTTAAACTTCAAGAGGGCAGGAAGTGTGTCTATTAAGAACAGTAATTTCATTTTCATCATTCACAAGAACAGACAAAAAAGCCACAGCCAAACCATCAGCATTAGAAGAGGAGTATGTTACACTGAGCTAGAATTTCGCACATCAGAGAGGATTTGTGTCCCTTGGGAGGATGGAGTCTTCTCATGTAGCCAAAGTATCCATCATGCTTTAGGTTCAAATCAATACCAAGATACCTCGGATAAAGTCTGGAGTATGCTGAATCCCAAGAAGTACCTACAATACAAAGCAGTACAGAATGTGCTCTTTCTTGCATCATATTCAACACTGCATTTCTGAAATAAAGCATACATTAGTTCAATATGTTTCTCTTTTATTTTCTTCATACAGATGTGTTAGCTAGCCTTTTGGATAATGGCTTCTCATCAAGATGTTTCAATGTATTTCTGCTTCCTGTGCCTATTCTGAGACAAATGTTGTGCCAAACAAATCCAGATTCGACGTCTCTTCTCAGACAGTTTGAAAATGTCAGTGAAGGGATGCTAATCTTTACATGCATTTCTATGCTATGTGAACATATGAGCACTTAAAATGAAAATGATACAGACGTGTTCACACACATACAGCACACGCACGCAAAAAAACACACTTTACAGATGGTAAGATTGCACGAGATGGAAAGACGAGAGGCTTAACATCCATTAATGCGCAGCAGATGGGAGTTAATCTTCTTCTTGCCTATTGTGATTACTGCTCCTTGCAAGGCTGTGCTCTTTCTCTCTTTTCTCCATCCTGCCCATAAGCCTCCCAAAATAACTTCCCCGAATGCAGGTCAGGAGTTGTATGGAAATAAACCTTATTTACAAATCGTCAGACAGCAGTCATCTAAATTCTCCCACTGTGACAAAAAGTGGATACCAACCCCCCCGCAGTCAGGTGCTGCTTGGAAACCGATGTGCATCCTGTGTTTAGAGGAGGAGCGTTGTTGCTAACCAGCTGTTACACTGCGCTTCAACAAAAGAGTGAAACACTAAACCATGTGAGCATCATGCTTCTGCCATTACCTAAATGTTGGCAGTTTTTAGTAACGCAAAAAGCATGGGTTTAGAAGTTATTCTCAGTGAAGTCTGTCTTCATTTTCTTACAAAACATCCACTGCTTGGCCGGATTGTACTAGTATCACCTGAACGATGTTTAATTGCAAGTTAAATAACCCTGTTTCCTAAAAATACAACAACTGTAAATTATAGACAAAAATGTAAATAACATATGAAGTCATAACATGACAGTAATTGCAATTTCCTACTGTTAAATAATACATTAACAGCATGAAATCTACAAGATGAGCCTCATCACAGACTGCTCTTTTTCACAGATGTCAGACTCAACAACAGCACAATGTGGTCACTGTTGATTTAACAGTTTTTGGAGAATTCCAATTTCAATTAAATATCAGTTCAATATTTTCCTTTGAAATATCTCTAACAAGCAACCTATTTTGCCATCTTGGAATCCATAGCTTGGTGAAATGCGTAACAGTGAAAGTTTTCTTCAGAGACAAACTGATAAAGCATTTTGTTGAGTCAGTTTAACAATGCTCTGCCAAAATAAGCACAGCTTCCCCAGAAGAAGGTTTGTTTGAATTGTACGCTGAGGCAAGCCAAACAGTCCCATTCCTGCAGCCCTGAAAATGCTGCATCCATGATTCACCTGAACTGAATTTGTTTTTCAATTTGTCAGATTTTGTAGGCGCTGCCATATCAAATGAACTTGTATTTTTTCTTCCTTTGCAATGCCTTCATAAATGCTTATGACCCCACAGAGTCATTTCTATCACATATGTGGGAAAACTTTAAATGTTGTATTGCCAGAGGGCCAAAAGATCAGGGCCATTCATTACTGCCTCTATGCCCATCATGGAAAGAGATTCTTTGATTTTTTAAAATAATTTTGTGTGGCATTGATTAAGAAATTCCCCAAATTCATAATAAAAAAGAAAACAGCAGTATTCCTAAAGACTTTTTTGTTTAACCATGCACAATGATTTGTTGTATTATGTTTGTCTATGTAGTCATAGGGCTGGATTACAGTAAAGGTTCTGTGTAGCATGGCACAGGTACAGACATGTACATTTGATGTTGGTTCTTAAGCAATACGTTCATTAGAAAGATCACTGACAGAATTTTTGCAATGTCATTCGCACAGTAAAAAACAATTACCTCAGTGAATTTAACAAAACTATGTATGTTTGCACTGGGATAGGCTCCAGTCCTCCTACGACCCCATTTGGGAATAAGCGGTTCAGAAAATGGATGGATGCACATTTTGTTTTTTCTTTTCTTTCAATTGATTTTCAGAGAAGTAGTTTTATGCTACATGTCTCACTATGCCAATTGTCTAATTGTGTTGATTAAAACATCTTGATACAACCTTTACATTTCTGGTAGTTCGGTGCATTCAGTGATTGATGTAATTTCTTTCCTATGCTATTTCCGTTTTGTGAACTCTTTTTCAACTTTATTATCTTGTCTTTGTTAACAATTTATGTAGAATCTCGCTTATTTGTCAACACAATGCTGGAATAAAAAGAAGATAACTAGAAACCAATATTTGATGTAAATGATGTTGCTTTTGTAGATAAAAAAAAAAGCTTGGCATGCTTCTCTCACCAGACTGTTAATGACACCCAGAGTGTGATTGGCATTGTGGAGTGAATAGGTCAGCTGGTAGACGCCATCATTGGTCTCGCTGTTCCCATAGAAACCCACTCCAACAGAAGAACTGTGGAGAGACAAGGAGACATTTAGATAAAACAAATGAGTAAATATCCTTTTTTCCCCCCCCCCCCGTTTCTTTTTGCTATTTTTGCCAATATATTCCTCGGCCACAAACCTTATGCGAGTTGAACATAAGGCAAATATGTGCCCACTGGGAAGTGATTTAATCAAAGTTTTAAACTTGGATAATACTTTACTGACTAAAATTTCTTTAGAAAATGCCATACCTTAATTTGCCAGCTTAAATAATCCATTCAACATCTGCATTGGAATTCAGTTTCACATCTGAAAATGTAACCAGCTGGAATTTTCCACAATTCATATCTCTTATATCCCTGCTGGTTTTTAGAACTGTGCTTGAGCCACTACAATAGGGGGGATTATTTGCAGCACCCCAAGAGTCAGAAAAGTTTGACCTCTAACAGTTTGCAGTAACATGAACAAATGTACTTAGTTGCAGAGCTTTTCTCAAATTCAAAATTTGGAGAATACTGTTATTTTACCAACTGTGGGGCTCCACACTTTACAACATTAAATAGACAAAATGTGATTTAACTAGTGTTCAGGGTGGAAGTAGAAAATCTATCTTTTCAATCAATTACTGTGACGTTTAGTAATCCTTGCACAAGAAAGCTGTTGTGTTCTTTAGAATCCATGTCTAACACAAAGCGACCGCAGCCAATTTAAACTGCTGAGGACTAAACTAAAAAAAGAAAAAAATGACCCTAGCGAAGACCAAAAACTGACAGAGTAAATAAAAACAAGTCAATAACAAGGAAAAAGAAGGTTTATTGTGAAATGCAGCACATGTGGAAAGCAACTCTCTTTAAAGTTCAACAGAAAAAGTAACCTTTCATGCAGTTTGAAATATACTGATTCCAAGTCAAAGCAGGAACCAGATTTGAAACCTGCTATCTATGTGACTGTACTGCTGGGCCACATTAAATCTATGTCTGTCACGTTGATAAGTAACACATGTGCAGTCAATCCATCAACAGTGTTTCCTTCAGCACACGCAAACAGAACAAAAGCAAACGTGAGAGGCCATTTAGTCAAGATGCTCACTCACTGAATCGAATACCAGTGTGGGAGAAACAATGGACCTGAGAAGATGCAGGAAAATAAGAGAGTGTGAATCATCCTACAATTCTAAAGAACTTCATAATCATCCAAAACAGTAATGTCTCATTTTAATATGGTACTGCATGAAACCCTTTAAGTCAGCCCTTCTTTTTCTGTCTTCAGCAAATGGAAACCACAGACTCTCACACTACATTGATCCCCCCTTTCTGCAAGCACAGATCCACATTTGAGCCTTTTGAATAACTTTTCCATCAAGAAAGCACCTTTCGAAAAAGATGGTGGGTGCCAACTGCTCGTCTTGTTGTAACCAGAGAAAAGGAAAAGCTCGTGCTATTGAGGCGTGCACCAAATACAGATATAGAGAAATATGGAGAGAACATTATAGAATGCAGAGAACTTAACTGCAATCACCAGAGCAAGTGCAGTGAGTGGGCAGCTGAAAAGCTCATCGATGTGAGTGACAGCAGAAATGATGGAATTATCTTATGAAACAATGTACAATTTAAATATGAATTTGGTGTTAGTGTATATGATTTTAGTTTAAAAGTTACACATGGTCTTCGAGAGCTTAGACTAATTATATGTAAGAAAGGCCGAAAGACATTATTGTAATATTATCATATCAAACAACCATATGTGAAGTGCATGCTATTTATATTTCTATAAGGGCCTGAGAAAGTATGTCTTCAATTAACAAAGAAGTATTACTGTACTAAAACATATAAATGCAAGAAAAAAACACAATCAAATACACAATTTCTCTGTCGTTTGACTACCATCTGATAGCTTAGTTTCTGTAACATTCAATTAAAAATCTACAGTACAAATTAGCATCTCAAATATCTCTTCAAGTCTGGCATACAGTATTTTTGGAAGGCGCATCTGTTTTTGTGTTCCCTTCTTATAATTTTGTAAGTATAATGAAGAATGCAGCCTGTTTCTTTTCCTCTAAACTAATTCTATCTGGTTATGATTAGGGACACAAGGGACATAATATATCTGAGGAAGAAAGATACAATTAAAGAAGTTCTTACGAGCCAAACTACGTAAATGCAGTTATAGAATTACCTAATTTATCTGATTAAAAGACAGAGAAATTTGATGCAGTCTTTTGATTACATCTGTGTATAAGCCTATCTGCGTTGGCTTTCACAATGCATTCTTCGTGAACCCTGTAGCGAAGATGACACAGAGCAGCTAATCACATAGTAATGAAACAGTAATGTCTGTTACATTCACGATGGGCCAGTTTAGCCTCGGGGCTGGTATTAGATTTTGTTGTGTCTGTGCAAGGGCTCCTCACATCTGTTCATTGTTATGAACCAAATCGACATACAAAGTGTACATTTTATAGAATCAAGGATATTCAGTTCTTTTAGAAGTTAATCTCTGCACTGAGTTTGACCAGACAACAATTAGGACATACAAATCTATTGCTAAAGCAGTGAAATAAACAATATCAAGGGTAACATAGGTCAACTCGGGGGCCATGTGTGTAATAAGCAAACAGATTCTTTAAAAGGATGTAAACATTCCATGACGAAAAAAGAATTCCAACGAGGGCTTTTTCACACAAGATAGATTCTTCTTTGTGTTTTCATCGTGACAATAGGCTATCTTGTAGTCCCTTCACACGCAAATTCACGGGCATTGATTTGATTTATCAAAACTTAACGGGTTGAGCTGTGAAACGTAAAATGCTCGCTAAAATCCTGCAATGACTTCAAATATCCATCAAGAACAAGACCGGTAAATATACGGTCAGGAAAAATGAAGAAGTCAGAGCTTAAATTCTAATAATTGAAGCCAAAACCACCGTTTAATCAGATCAGCCTGATCAGCCACTAAATTTGAATGTCGATTCATATTAATTGAGATCACGGGGCTCTTGTTCTCTTTGTCTGACCAAGGCATGGGCTGAGTGTTCCCAACCTCATTTCCAGTCGATTGGTTCAATTTCCATCTGTGTCTGAACACAATCTGGTATTTTAGTTCCACAGTGCCACCTTCACCTCATGGTTCAGATTTCACTCTGATATCCACCGTTAACTGTAAGGCCTCAAGAAAACCCAAGGCTACCCATTTAATTATGTGCAATGAAAGCCCTTATTCAGATGTGCATTCAAGTCAAGGAGTACAAGTATTTGTACTTAAAAAAAGACCCCACATTAGAGGCCAGATGCATGTCATAAAAAGTAGGAATGCTGCCAAGAATGGGTTTTGTTCTTAATAAATTACAACTCTTTCTACCTGAATATCCTTTACATTCCATTGCAGGACTCTTGCAGAGCTAGAAGATCACTTCAAGCTATTTTACTTAAAATTAAATTGTGTGAACAAGGTGCCACAAAGTGATTGCTGAGAGCTTAACATAGTAAGGTTGAGACCTTATATAACGACATCATGCCCCATCACTTAGCGCCACAACAGGCCTTGTGTACTGTAGTAGTGGCTTGGTATGGATAAAGAGAGTTAACAAAGTTAGAATGCACCAAAGTCACAAGTCTGAGGAGTTCTGTGCTCAAACTCAATCAAGGTTGTTGGGACAAATTTTGTATTCTTTCATCTTTAAATTTTTTTTGTATTACATCATATCCAGAAGTGCAGTTATTTCTGGCAATGTTGCTCTGAAAGCTTCATGAAAGCTCCCTACCTGCGAGGTTTACATTCAGCACCACAGAATATACAAAATACACTAGACATAATATAGATATAAACAAAAAAAAATGTAATATTAGAGTTTCTACTTGACATTATCCAATGGGAACAGATGGGTTTCAATTGCTTTGTTTTCTCTGTTTGAATGCATACACACTTATCAATCACACCTGACCAAGTTCAGTTTAAAATGGCTGACTGCAGTTTTTGGACTGAGCAGCAAATGATGGACTCATGACTGGTTCCATTCCAGATATGACATGATGCCCGAGATATCCTTGGAAATTCAGTTAATTCCACTGGGTTGAAACGTAAGTACGCGACCAAACAAAATCCCCATTCACAGGTAGTAATGAGCCATACCCTGGAAAGGCAGCAAGTATCATGGATAGAAAATTTCTGATCTTCTGTTTTGTGGGACGTTTCTGTCAGGTGCTATGCCCTGCTGAGATAGGTCTTAACTCTCAAGATCAGAGCACCCTAACAGTGATCTGAGGAAAGATTTCACACACCCTGATATTGACATTTTTACCAAGTGCTCCTTACAGAAAGCTCTCTCTCCTTTTTTCTCTGTTGCAAATGTCCTATGCAGCTGTTTTTCAAGGTTATGCAACAGAATTACCACTTACAGCAATCTAACAATAATAATGCCAGTTTATTAGGTTCAGGTCGGATTTAAGATAACCTCTGACAGCTTTGCAAGTAAATGATAACCTGACTAATGTGACTCAGCTGGCAGTACTGGATTTTTCAGTGGACAACAGAGGCTAAGCACTCAAATCTTATCAGTCATCACCAGACAAGGCAAAACTCACAGGAAAAACAGCCTAATGTGTAAATACAATGGAAGATGAGGGTATGCTTCAGAGTCAATTGATAATGGTTGTTTATGTCAAACTCGATTGACATTGAAAACCTACTTGGCAATAAACCTGATTCTGATTCTGATTCTGATTCATATGGGGTTCTGACTAACACAGATAACTAATTCTCCATTATCAACATTTGACCAAATGTTGAGAGACACAGTGTGTACATACTAACTGCATAAAAAATGAGGGAATACAGAAATCTAACAAGGCACATCAAGCACATTTGTGGACATGGATACTGTTGGTGTATGAAGGTATATTTTGAGTTACCATATGATGAGACCGGTGATGACAGCAACCCAAGTGACACAGCAGGTATCAGGCCTTTTAGTGTCTTCTTCCAGGTCTTTGCAGCAGCACAAGCACACCAAGTACGCTGCCAGAATAAGCAGGCTCAGTCCAAGGCCGACCGCACCAACGCATGCTAGAAGGATAAGAGACTGAGGAAGAAGAGAAGACACAATATGTTAAAGAGGTGGCCGGGATATCGTCATTGTGAAGAACCAGTGAATAGTTGGCAAGCACCTCCAACATGAAAACAGCTGTCCAGCTTTAATAGGAATAAATGTTAAGTTAACTATAAGTTTAGTGTGCACCCATCTTATCCTTAACATGAGCATCGTCACTGCTGACTATAGCCCAGAGCAAAGAAAGTCAAAGGGAAGCAAAAACCTCTGTGGCTTTTGGGCAAATGCTGCACACAGACAACTTTATTGACGCGGGAGTGCTTGGAATACGGCCACGAAAAAAAGTAAGAAGCCCAAAGCTGTGGGAGGGGAGCACCATGTGACGCTATGGCTTTCATTCAGTCTTGTGATTTCTGAATGTGTAAAAGATTTGAAGCCTGAGGTTTGGAGAAACACAGAAAACCATTGACCTGAAAAAAGAACGAGGGATTTTCTTGTTTATTCCTAACACTTTCACACTATATGCATGGAATATGTTTTTTACACCATATGTTTGGCAACTATAGAGCAACAGAATTTCTTGGTTTGCTTTAAGTTAAACGGATGCATATCTTATATTATCTTAACTGTCAAATGGCAAACTTGGCGACAGTGTTTAGTTGCTAACCATCTTATGATAGAAGAAAATCTATTGATTTACTCATCTATGAAAACTGCATAAACATATATCCCATCATTTTCATTTTCTACAAGACTACAACTGCAGTTTCAACATTATATCCAATGTATCCATAGTATTTATAATAGCTAGTTTGATTTAAAGAGCACAAACACAAATTGTTTTAGCAATTGTTTTGTTAAAAGACAAGTTATACAAGAGCATCATCCAAATTCAATTTGGTAACTATATTCATAACAAGTTTTCATACCCACAAGTTTAGAGTCCATGTCAGACTGACTGGAAAAAATATTTCATGGCAACTATTGAGACCAATTATTCATTTTGGATGGCACTGGCGCTGTGACTGAACTGAAATTAACATATATTGTATGCACATTCTAATGAAGTTCCTCATAGTCTTAATTTACATCACAATGAGCCCTACTTCACCCTTATTTCAGCTCAACACAATTTTTTATAAAGTATCAAAGTTAACATTAACTGACTTAAAACTATTTAAAACATTTAGCAATAAACACCATCAGTGACTTGTTTAGCCAACCAACTGAATTATCTCACTTTAGCTAACTTTAAGGCCAAACTCCTAATCTAATAATTTGCTAACAGTTTTGTGGATGGTGCTAATGATGAGCAATAAGTTACTTTGTCTCAGAGCCAAGTTAGGCCAACAGACATTTGTCTCAGTTCAGGCCCCTCGCAAGAAGAATGTTGATCTTCTCGCTCCTCCGATTTTTCACACAACTGGTTGAATAATTAAACATGTAGACACTTCCATTCTCAAAAGGATGCAATTCTGAAACAAAGAAGCATGTGTATGAGAGCAAAGAAAGGAGAGGAACGACTGTGAACTACAATCTATTGATCCTTTATCTTACCAAAAGGATGCTTTATAAAACATGCTTGAGTGTCCCCGTTTAATTCGATTACACGGTTGAAAGCGAGGCTTAATGAATGTTTCTCTTGCTGCCTCTCATTTCCCACTTTTCTCAAAGGTGGTAGACGTCTAAGGAAAATCGGTCCTGCACAGTCTCTATGATTAAGGCAGTTAGACAGTGGTGTCAAACTGTGAAAACAGAAACTCACATAGCACTAAATAGAAGGTGCCGTGCCATTTGGATACATGTGCTCATAACAAATTACCTCAAAACATACTATTTAGGCATTTAAAGGACTGCTGTTTGTTTCTTTGTTATGGTACCCAAAACCAATAATGGTGACAAGAACTTCACTGAACTTCAAAAACTCTCATTCACATTTGTCAAACTAAGCTATGTGATATTATATTAGTGTTTAGTATTATGCAGTTTAAGCTAACAACTTTGCACGCTTTGTATTGAGGTGCATCTTTCATTTGCACGCATGTATGCTGCAAAATGCTAAAAGGCAAAATAAAAGAAGATGAAGAAATGATAGACAAAAAAAGAAGCCACACTATAAAATTCTTGTTGATGTTATGTACTGCAAATGGAAAGTTGCAGCATAACTAAAAATCACTATCTAGCATCAAACTGTCTATCTGATATACAACTCAGGTCCTGCTGCCTACAGTCAGTCTGCATCTCTAAACAGTCATATTTACAGACCTCAGAGGCTGCCTAAATTAACTCCAGGGAAATTATGATGTATTGTCAAAACAGTTTCTTTAAGTCATTTCTCATGCATTAAAAGATATAAAACAACCACAGTGGAAGGCACAAAACTCAATCTCCTTCAATCAAAATATGCATTTTTGTGGTGGGAAGATGAGCAGTCATCAAGTACAACTGGTATTTAACGGTTCTTTTCTAATCTAACTTTCTGATGAATGCATTACTGCGATGCGATATTTCTGGACAAGTATTCTTATGACAAGCCATTTGAACATTAAAAAAAAACATTCCATTCCAATTACATTTGCTGAAAGACCCAAGACAGTATTCCTCCCACTCCAAATTCTATTTTCACTCATCAGACCTGTACTTTAAGATCTCTACATACACAACTATGATCGGGCAAGTGAAGTGATTTTTCAACATTCTAGCACTTGACAGGAAATGGAAAGGTGATTCCTGGTGAGACTTGCTTTGCAGATCTCCAGTGTCAATTTTGGACATCTGCAATAATTCGCTTCCAAGAGCAACGCACCAGTGACCTCTAGTCATTTGCCCTAAGAGGGATCTAAATGGATCACCTTCAGCCAATAGGATAACCACCAATAAAGTGTTGTAGCAGCTCCACACATGATGCTGAATGTTAGGATATCTTTTAAAATGAAAGATCCGAAAGAGTTTCTATTTTATTCAAAGAAATATATTTCTTTCTTTTCATTCATGGGTGAAGAAAAACATGAATATGCCAAACACTTTATTTGTTTGTTTTTTTGGATCACCTGGGCAGCTAGATGGTTAATATCATTAATACAAGTCATGTGTCCCCATGAGAGCTGCAGGTCACTGCAGAGCACTGGGACCAAACATTCTACAGCTGCATATTTCAGAGAGAAAGAGTTGAAAGAGTGGTAACAAAATGCTTTTGCTGTCCCAACAGCATTTTCTTTTCTACTTTTCATTTACTTCTAAACCAAGTTTGTATATGACTGCATTTTTTTTTAATGAAAGTCTGAATTCAACACTATATTTTTTCCTTTTTTTTCTCTTGTTTTTGTCAACGTACAAACGCAGTGACCAACCTGCTGATAGTTTGCCTCCTCCGGTTTGAAAATGCTGTCGACCGGCTGAAATAAGAAGTTGACATGTGGGAAATGGTGCAGCCAGTACGTCCACCACGGAGCGACGTAATCAACCCTGGCAATGGCCATTATCGCCCGCAGAGTCGCTCAGACCGAGCGCTGAAAACCCGTCTCTCTGTGGCACTCAGATACTCCTTTGGTTGAGCGAAAAGATGTGGAAAAAGAGAGGAAATAAAGAAAAGGAAAAAATTATGTTTCGCAGGTTTTCAGTGTCAAAGTGGATTTTGTTCCTATCGATAAACCTTCAAAACAGAGATAAATCTCACTTATATCTTCTCCAGTCCCCATGACTGTGTTCTAACCGCCCAGCTGCGCACATTCTCAACATAAACATTACAGGCCGGCGGTTTCCACCCGAGATCACGGCTCTGACCTGCCCCCTTTAACGTGGGAGGCGCCACCGGGCTTCCACTCAAGTGGACAAGGCTGCTGCTGGTTTACCACAGTAAGCAAACCCAAACCCTGCTCCAATCGGGGGGAGACTTAAAGAGAGAAAAGTCAATGAAATCCTAACAACAAATATGCTAAATTAAAATTGATTGATTGAATGAATGAATAAGTGAGTAAGTGAGTGGGCCAGTGGAAGCATGTCTTGCTTTCAGAGTGTCTGAAGGTCCTACTGCATCTCACTGTACTTTCGATATTACATTTACATTCCTAAAAACATGAATAGGAAAAAAAGGAAATAGTGTTCAGGACTGACCTTTTGGGCTTTGGCCGCAGCATTCACTGCACTATTTATGACACTGCCAGTGTCTGACCTCTTGTGGACAACAAGGCACACTGAGGTGATCAGTAATGAGCATGCTAATGAGCTCCTGCAGCCATGTTGACCTCTGATTTTGTGTACAAAGTTTTAGGTAGTGGAAGTCAAATTCATATCAGTATCAGAATAACTGTGGCGAGATTTATTTATTTAAAAAAATCATATAAGCAAAGGTGGATTCTGCTGTTTAAATAAAATTTGAATGAAAGCCAAAGATAATAAGAAAGTTGAAATTCTAAAAGGAAAATGTAAAATATAATACCAAAAGTCATAGCTGTAATGTCCTGACAATGCTGAACGATTTGATACCTTATTTGTTAAAATCGGTTAAAGAAGTTAGAAGCACGAAAATGTACAGAAAATAGGAAAACAAGAAAACAATAGTGAGAATTAAGAACCTGAACTGGCACTGGCGGTTTGATCTGGGATAAATGTGACCAAGAATATACAAATGGGAGGATGAGTGGTGCGTAAGTGAGTCCTGGGAGACGCCTCTGAGCGGGGAAAGCCGACACAGCGCTAATGCTCAGAAGTTCAAAGAGGAGAAGCTTATGAAAATACAGAGTATGAAATTAATTTTTAAGTATGAAAATAAATGTCCCTTCCAGGGGATATGTGGCTTCATTATTTTGGATAATCTCACTCTTTCTTCTGTTGACTTCTGATGTTTTAAACAGACAAAATCTGATTATCATTTCAACAGTCTAAGGCTACTCTAAATGACAGGCCATTTGAAATACCCCTAATTACACAGAGAACGTCATCCACTGGCAGATGAAATGAAAGAATGTATGTTTTCATCTGAGGAGCGGTCGCTATGGAATGATTCGATGTCAAGCAAAAGCATCTTTGTTTCTTATAGCTGGCGCTCTAATGATGGATGCTTTGATGCGCTTCCATGGCCAGAATATGTTAGGAGTGTGCTCTGTGCTTGAATACCCTGAGTAGGTGACACTTGAAATGTACTGTTTGAATTTGAATTTTTTTGACTGTGCTCTGAATGTACAAGTAGTTTAACTTGGTTCCTGGAATTCTCGAGTGATTGCCGTGCCAATCACTCTTAGTGTCTGAAGCAACCAAGGGGATCGACCTAAAAAAGCATACGAAATGAACAAAAGCACCATAGTGTGTGTCCTTCTATCTCAACTTAGAGCACATGCATATAGTCTCCCTTCTCCTGCTGTGTACCCACAAATCAAACACAAATATTTGTGGTTGTAAGTCCACAGCAAGTACTGTTGTCCTCAATAATTAGTGGTCGGTTTAAGTCCAACTAATGTTTTAATAAAAATGTGTCGCACTTTAAAATGTAAAACAAAGATACGGTTATGTGTGATGAGTTGAAACAGTGCAAAGAACAAAGTGAAATGCCACAAATCAAAATTGGTTATTTGGAAATTGGATGTGACATCTCCTGGACTATGCTACATGGCGGTAGGGCGGTGCATTTGTCATCACGCCATGTGTAACTCTCACATCTGTGAACGCCACATTGTTACTGGTAGACATTTCCAGGTTTTGGGGCAACACAGGCTGTCATCCAGATGACAGCCACATTCTGCATGTTGTGCGACAGCACAGCTCCATAAAAACATTCAGATGCCTGCAGTTTAGACCTGATTTGAAGCCACAAAAGACAAAAAGGATACCCCAAACTGTTGAAAAGCTGACATCTTGTATCAAGGCGAAAGGAGAAAACATTCCATTTTCAAACAAACCTTGGACGATATCTTTTCTTTTCAAGTTTTAACTGGGCCTGATGAAAGAGGAGATAATCCAAGACAATATTACATATGCCCATATATAAACTTTTACCATATGTGGGAGAAGAGACTTTGGTAACCATCAACACTTTATTGTGGAGCTGCGAGTTATCTAATGTAGTTATAACAAAAAGAGGACTATTTGAATTTCTATAGATTTAAAAAGTCTTATAATAGACTTGTGCATACAGTCAATGAAGCTGAGCCATGACAGCTGAAGTCCAGTGCGTTCTGTACTGTGAACTCCACTCTGTGATGAAGAAATCCATTGCAAGACAGAACCTCTTTGTACATAATGTTGGCAATAGAGTTCTAATAAAATTCAAATATCTTGTTTTAATGAACTACACTTTATATATCAGATCAGATACTTGGGTCTTTCATCAAAGTCTCATGGGGCCAGCAATTTAGGGCATGATGTTACAGGAGATACATATCAAAGAGCACTTTGATGTCAAGCAACCACACAGAAAATATAAAAGATTGAAAACCGAAGTCATATAGTAAATGACAAGTCTCAAGGTCTGTACTATTGAGACTCTCTTTAATCATTTTAATATTTTGAACGGTGGAGCAGATATTCTTCCCGGGGATTTTGTTACCACGGAAAGACACACACAAGTCCTCAATTTCGGAATCCTGATTTTACATTTCCTTTAAAACCGTTATTACTCAAATTTGAGTTTAGGATTGTTGAGTATGAAATGTTTGAGGTATCACGATACGGTCTGACACAACATGGTAGCATGCAAGGATATGCAGATGCTGTAGCTTGGTAGTGGAAAAAAAAAGGAAAGAGAGTGTACTCCTCACTGGTTGTGTAGCTGTTGCTTACTCCTGGTCACGTGCTGAAGCTTTGGATTTACCTCACGACTGACTGTCACCATAACAATCATGAGGATGATTGGTGCATTGAAAGGTGCTTTAAAGAGCCTTCTGCCCTATCTCCCACTCCCTCTCCTACCGAGATTCTTTGAAGCCACAACAGTTGGTGCTCAGTGATATGTGGAAATATGTTGTATTGGACTACTCTTTGCTCATGTGGTTATTAGTTTTTTTTTTGGGGATTTGCGACTCAAATCCTCTTGCTCACTTTTGAGTGATTTATACATGAATGAAGATTTATGCCTGAGAGCACAATGTGCTGGTATTATCCAATCACTCTGGGCCGCTCCATGACTCCTGAGATTGCATTAAAGTGTAATATCAATGCTGCAATCCTTGGGTTATTGCCACTTTGCAATACCCGTGGACCCTCTGATACTATGGCCACGTATTATGATTGTGTCTATTGAAATAATGTTTTAGAGGAAATAGTTGGAGTGTATGAATGAAAAGTTGCCATTCTTGTTTAATTTATTTTATCAGAAATAGGATAGAGACTAAAAAACATCTTGGAATATACAGTATGAGTGACCTGAAAATAAAGGAATATAAACAGACAGAACACAAACTGTCTGTAAAGTAAGTGAAGTAATACTGTGGCTTCTGAACTGATCTTCCTTGCAAAGTTGCAGAACAAGGGACCTTCTTTAGACTTCATAGACACATGTTAGGGTTCTCATGGATTTAACAAAAAAAATTTAATTGCTAGTACTAAATCTCCCCATGCAGAATGTTTAGAAACAGTGCATAGATAAGATAGAAGAGGTGAATACCAGTAGAGCTTCGCAAAGGGCTCTTAAAAGAAGAAATTAAATTTCAAATTTATTACAGTTCAATCACACACTATCATTAAAGGACTTTAATATATTTTTGATAAGAATAATTCCTTGTTCCCTTTTCTTCTCTAACAAGGGTGAAAAATCTCCTTGTTATTTGGCACCTTAAAGAAACCTTTGGTGTACGAAACGCTGGCTGTTCTAATCTGCCTTCATTCTCTCCGTGCAGTTAAGCATTTTAATTGAGAAATCTATTGGTCCCATGTGAGACAGCGCTTTTGCTGTCACGATCAGACTATTATTTTATGCAGCTGCCCAGTGAGGGCTATTTCATGCAATAATGATTTTGGTGAGGAGAAAACCCTTAACTGGCATCGGCACATTTTCCCTTTCCTTTTTTTCCCCCTCCCCACAGGGATATGGCTTTCTTAGCTTACGATTTATCCAATTACGGATTTACAGCAGTGCAAAGTCGACCATATGATGCAGCCTAAGTCTATTTTTCAGCCTTTGGAGCAAATCCAATCATTCCAAATGGCTGCTGATGGTAATAATTGCAACAGCATTGTATTGATTTAGTAAGTCCATGAAGTGGAAACAAACAAAGCAAAGGAGACTGTTCTCTTTCCATGCAAAAATATTTTGTTTCTTTATCATGCCTTGGTGACAGTATGACAGAGAGGCGTTTGATTTGCTGCATGTGCAAAAAATCTACCCTCTGATGGCCACACTTAGATTATTTACTCTTTGTCAAGGTTAACGATGATAATGCTCTCTAAACCAGTTTTTCCGGGCTGTGTTCTTTATGGCACTCTGCCCTGCATGTTTTCCATGTTTCTCTGCTCCAGCACAACTGATTCAAATGGATGCCTTGAAGCCCAGGGTTTGGAAACACTGCTCTAAACTTAGTCCTACCAAACTAACAGGCAATTTAACAAATATTCCACATCACTGTATCTGTTTCTGATGCAAGCTCTTCTTTGATATGCTCCCAGCCACCATCTCCATAAGCCTTGTTGTTTCCACAACTGGTGGTCATCTGTCGCTTCTTACACTTATAAGAAAGATCTCATTTCTGGGAATCTGATATGCTTAAATGAATAATTATTTGCTCTGTGATGCTGCATATCAAGTGAGTTACAGTATTTCTATTCATCCATCTAAATTCCTCACACGTAGATCAAATTTTAACTGGTTTGTGCACGGCTTTGTAAAGGGTTTTTCAAACAGGCT